ATCTTTTCAAGCGCTCGAAATTGCCAATATAGAAAGACTTCCCAAAAACACAAAGGTAGCTCGCATGATGATGAAGCATGGTTACCATCCTGGCCAAGGACTGGGGGCAGATTCCCAAGGCATAAGGGAACCCCCAGAATTCCAAGATAATCCTCTCAAGCATGGCCTAGGATATGACCCTACTAAGGGCCGAGCAGAAAGAGGAAAAGGGAAGTCTCCCCTCCGCACACTCAAGCAAATCTTCCGAAGTGGAGGGGTGCAAGCGTCAAGAGCTACCCTAGTCATTAGGAAATCTTTTTCTTCATTTAAGGGATGTAAACCCCATGATTGTTAGAGATTATTCCCCGGGGCTACCCCGACCCTCGGGCATTTTAGGGAACATATTCCCTTATTAATTAATAAAGAATACTTCTTACTATCTGCTTCTTTTCTCGCTATTTCTGACTAGACCTCACAATAACCCTTTCTAAGTAAACAGAAAAAGAAGAAGAGTAAAAAGCGCATCCAAATAACCAAAAATTCACCATTGCCATTACAGTCAAGCTAGTTGATTAGAAGCACCAAATAAGACTTCACTTCGCCATAAAGAAAAGTCATGCTTCGCCAATATTGTGAACAAAAATAAATACAAAAAAAAGGAAAAAAAAACATAGAAGCCAAAGGCCAAGAAAAATACCCGGTAGGAAACCCACCAAGGGGGCTACGCAAAAGATAGGGTCAACTCGGTAGGATACCCGAACAAAAATAAAGGGTAGCCTAGGCAAAAGTTAGGGTAACAAAATAAGGTCCGCTAGGATTCCCTAAAAACACAAAAAAAAGGAACCTAGACAAAAGATAGGACCAAAGCACAATATCCTAGTTCGAAAACCCAAAGGGCGATCTAGGGAAATCAAGTAGCCATAGAAAAGCAATGGAAATAAAACTAAGGCGCAAGTACAAAAAAAAAGGGGAAACGCTTGCTTAGACAAAAAGCTTAAACATCTAAGCCTAACCCTGGCCAGCCATTCTTACAAAACTTCTTTCTAAATAAAACAAACCTTCTAAAACACAAGCCATTGAATTTACCCCTTTACTCCTCTTCTCTTGACCCTCACAACAATATTCTAATAATTAATTTGGGAATATGGAGGCGTATAGTCAACAAGAGGATTGAAACCCCTAGAATGGAGAAAAAGGAACACTACATGACAAAGAGTGCTCTACAAAAGAGAAAAAGGAAAAACAAGCTACCCTTCGGTCATAAGAAGTCCGGCATGGTACAGCCAAATGCAAAAACCCAGATCAGAGGACATTCGGCATTACAAGACACGTCAGTTAAATCCTTCTGAAAAACTAATTGAAATAAGAATTATAGGACATCAAACATAAAAACATTGCATGCATAAAATGTTTTTGAACCAGGTCCTATTTTCTTTTAACAAAAAAAAAACTCCCATAATTCGAGATGGTCGTTCGGAATTACCAGACCGCCATCTCGGTCTCCAAGCAAAACGGGACCGCCGTCTCGACTTCGCTGAAAACGAGACCGCCGTCCTGCTTGGCGAGACGACCGTCTCATTTAAGGCCAAAGTCGAGACCGCCGTCTCGACTTCCCAGACGGTGGTCCCGGATTGAATTTTTCCCTATAAATAGGGGAGGGTTCTTGAGGCTCTCCACAACTCCTCTGCACTCCAACTCTCAGATCTCTCACTTCCAAGCACCTTTTCGACAAAATGTTCCGTGGAAGTCAGTCAAGGAAGAGAAGAGGACCTGCTGGCCCTAGCAGTTCCTCAGCACCTGCTCCTCAAGACCCCACACGGCTCTCACCACTGCACCAAGCTCACCTAGAGCACATCAGGGGGTACGCATGGCACCCCATGCTCAAGCTAGACTTCGGCATCCTCGCCGAATTTGGATGGGAGGATGACGTCCGGGCCAACATAGACAACATTGGATGGGGCTTCCTCCTGCAGTCTCCCCCCACCCATGTGTACCCTCAAGCAGTGATGGAGTTCCTGGCCTCCATCTCCTACGCCGAAACTCCCGCCATGATCCTCAGGCTGTCACCGACAAAGATGGTGACATACTTTATGGGTGGGATGTATCGGACCACCACCCTGGACGAATTCAACGTGTCTATTGGATTTGTCCAGCCCGAAGACGTGCTGACCCGGAAATACCAGGAGGCCATCTGCGCACGCCCCACCAACCTCACCGCCGGCGAGATGTGGGAGGAGCTCACCAGGGCACCCACCTTGCCCACGCTGATGAAAGGCTCAGCACTCCCCCCGGCCTTCCGCATTTGCCACAAGCTGCTGACGGGGACCATCCATGGCAGGAAGGAGAGTCAGGGAAAGGTAACACTCCCTGATCTCTTCGTCCTTTACTGCATGTGCCAGAGGCGTCGATGCAACCCTGGCTACTTCTTCCTGAAGGCCCTCAAGGACTTCGGGAGCAGGCCAGTAGGAGCTGTCCTCATGGCCCCCCTCATCACCCCCTTGGCAGAAAAATAGGGGTGCAGTGGCTGGGAAGAACTGGCCTCCAGTCAATGCCCCGAGTCTATCAACGGGTCGATACTGGTCAGCATGGGGATGCTCATGCGCCGCAGAACCCAGCTGGTCCTCCACCCATCACTGGATTTCATCTTGGACCTCCAGGACATCATGGCAATGCACGATCTCCCGACACCTCCCGATTTCCAACAGCCACAACAACAACATCAGCATCAGCAACAGTACACAGACGACTTTGCTGGCATAAACCGCAACATCTACGATCTGCGCCAGCAATTCGAGCAGATGTCTGTGAGGCAAGAACAGATGTCCCTAAGACAAGAAGCCTTCGACACTAGACTGGAGACGATATACCAGTATCAGGAAGGGATGAGGCAAGACTGGGCAACATTCCAGCAAGAGTACCGCGATGAAGCCCGGGACCAAGCAGAGTTTCGGAGGCATATGTACCAGCAATTCCCCTCCTACAGATTGTCTCCAGATGATAGCCCATAGTCTTAGGGATAGCACTTATAGAATAGGGCTGCTGTAATAAAATCTTTCATAAATAAAAATTTTATTCCATGCATCTTTTTTATCCCTTCCAAAAGTCAGCGTAATCAAAAGAAGATAAAAAGTCAAAAGACTTACGCTCAAGAAAAAAAGCCAAAATCCAAAATCACGAGAAAAAATAGATAAAACCACGAAAAAAAAAGTGCAGGATTGAAACAAAGTCAACCACCTTGACAAACAAATTCTTCGACAACCAAGCAAGAGTCGAACACAACCAAAGCCCACCCGACCAACCAGCAAGAGTTGGGTGATCACCATCAAAAGATCAAAAACAAAGAATCCCTAGCAACCAACAAGGCTGGATGAACACCAACAATATCCCCGGCACAAACCGGATGACCAAATCAAAGACAAGAGAACACATCTCAACAAGGGCGCATGAGCTAGAGCAGTAAGCCGCCACCACAGCCAAAGGATCAGCTATCGCAAGAAGGAGCATCCGGAGGCATAACACCAGATGGGGGTGTATACTCATCAGGCCTTACAAAAGGGGGCTTACCGGATGGGGGTTCATACTCATCAAACACCAGATGGGGGTGTATACTCATCAGGCCTTACAAAAGGGGGCTTACCGGACGAGGTTTCATACTCGTCAAAACCAGGTAGGGGTTCGTACTTATCAGCCGGAAGGATCAGCTACCACCGGAAGAAGCATCCTGGAAGCACACCTTTTTCCAGAAGATCAACCGCCACAAAGACGGAACATCTGAAGGACAACCGGGCAAGAGGGTCAACTCCTTTACCCTCCAGTCGATATCCTTGGCACAATAGGCCAGCAGTCGACTAGTCGGGTAAAGGGGGGGCAGCTGTAGACCCCAAATCTTGTCCGGCCTCATAATAAACACCAGAAGACCTCCTTTTCGAAGATGGATGAAGCCTAAGAAGCCATTAGAAGAGACTATTAGGCCCCATACTAGGATAGGAGGGATTTTTGGCCAAAAAATAAGGATTTTCGCCTTTTAAGGTTGAGACCGTCGTCTCGGATTTGAGACCATTGTCTCGCCTTGCACAAATGGCGAGACCGCCGTCTTGTTTGGTGAGACGGCCGTCTCGCCATTCCTGCAAGGCGAGACGGCCGTCTCGACCTTGTTAGACGAGACAGCCCGTCTCGACCTGACAGACGCGAATCCCTATAAATAGGAGCATCATTCCCCTCATTTCCCACAGTTCTTCCATTCTCTCTCTACACATTTCTTCAAATTCTCTTTCTAGAACCCCTCCGAAGCATTTCCGGAGTTTCTGAGAGTTTTCTTGAGTGTTTTATAGCGTTTTTGAGTGGCTTCGGCGCTGTAAAAAGTGAAGGGCTGCCAAAAAGCACCCTAATTGCAAAAGATCAATAGAAAATCTTGCTTCGGAGGTTTTCACTCTCTCTCTCTCTACTTTACTGCTTTAATTTTAAATTATGCAATAGAAACTAGGGTCATGTAGTCATAATTTTAAATTCCGCAAAATAAAGGGTAAAAGCGTATTTTTCACCGATTTATTTATTTATCCAAAGTAGCTAGCCCATCATAGGGAACCCGAAAGGGGCGTCGTAAGGGAACTAACACTTCCCTTACACGTAACTAACTCCCTTACCCAACTCTGGTTCTAATGACCAAAGTTGGTTTTTCAAAAACCAACGCCTTTTAATTCCTTTTCCGATGTTTCCGGTAAAAACGTCGGTGGCGACTCCAGAAGAACCCTTCAAAAACTTGTTCTTGGTTTAGCCCGATTATCAGACAATCCAAGAATGCCTTTTCGAAAACCTTGCCCCTAGGTTCAGCCTGGTTATCGGACAACCTAAAGGCGTTGTAACCACACCAATAAAAACGCGAAAAACGGAAAGTCGGAACCATCGCATCGCTCTGACCACCTCGTTTTGACGGTGGCGACAATGTAAAATTTGAACGTGATCACATATCTTTCTCTATTCGAACAAGGTTTGGGTACCATGTTCCTTTGTCAACCAATAGTTCATTTGCAGACCTTGAACCTCACACCCACTTCGCACATTCTATTCTCAATCGATGTGGACATTGATTTCTCGTAGTTGGGGAGAGATGTGATGACACCATCGCACAAAATAGTAACTCTGACGTGTAGGGTTTGGAACACACCCATCCGAGCATCTACCTTGGTCTCCAACTTCACCTTTAATGGCACCTCACTCTTCCTCTTCATGTTTCTCTTCAACTCCATCACAATGTAGCTCTGCACCACTACCTTGGTGCTCATGATACAGGTATGTTGAAGTTACTACAAAATTCTAAAAACTTGTATTTGTAAGTAGAATACCTATCATGAAAATTGTAAACTATTAAAAGTTAACAAAATGGCAGGCGTTAATATTAACCAATAATAATTTATGTTTTATTCTTCCTAAAATACTATTATTAAAATATTAACAATGATATTAGAGCTACCTTACAATACTTAATTATTTTCTTTAAAATTCGATTACATTTTGTATCAATCTCAATCAATGGTTAATCTCAATCATTCTTCATCTATTCTTGCATTCCTCTTCAAGAGAAAAAATAATTACTTTTGGAGAATTAAAATGAAAACATTTTTTTGCTCTCAAGATCTATGGGAGGTTGTAGAAGATGACTTCATAGCTTTCTACGGACATTTCCACACTAATGACTGCTCAAAAGAAAGAGTTGCAGGAAGTGGCGAATCTTGACCATTGATCTTGGGAGGGGGCCAAATAATATATTATTAATAAATAATAAATAAATATAAAAGGAATAAAAAAGATGAAAGGGTGAAAATATAAAATTCTAGATATATACTTAAATATATTAAATGATCATTAAGTTTGAGGGGAACAAAATCATAAATTATACGAAAGTTACAAATCTGAGGAGGGGCTGAGAGGATAAAATTGTAAATATACAAGTAAATATATTAAATATTCATTATGTTTGGGGGGGCCAAAATCATAAATTACATGGGAGTTACAGAACTTTGAGGGGGCACGGCCCCCTCAGCTCCCAAGAAGATTCGCCACTGGTTGCAGGAGAACATGTTGAAGGATTCTAGAGCATTATATTTCTTACAACAAGCCATGGTTGATATAATTTTTCCAAGGGTAATGGATGTCACAAGTGCCAAAGAAGCATGGAATACACAATAGGAGGAGTTTCAAGAAAGTGCAAAGGTACGCATCATTAAACTCAAACTCTTAAGATGTGAGTTTGAGTTATTAAATATGAAGGAGTCTAAGACCATCAAATATTACTATATTAGAATTAAAGAGATAATCAACCAAATGAGAGTGTATGGAGAAAGTATTCTTGACAAGAAAATTGTTGAGAAAATTCTAATTTCTATTTCCCATAAATATGATACATTTGTGACAATAATTGAACAAATCAAGGATTTGTTTATCGGTGACAAAACGAATAGGCTCTCTTAAAGTATATGAGAAAATATTGAAAAGGTATATTTAAGACTTTATCGAAAATACCTTTCAATCAAAGCTCAAATTATAGGTTTAGAATAAAGAAATCAAAGGAAATAAAATTGAAGAAATTCGTAGAAATAAAGAAAATTTTAAAAGTTTCTCTAAGTACAATAAAGAGAAGTATCCTTCATGTGGCATCTGCAAAAAGTCAAGTAACTTGAAGAAAGATTGTTGACATTACGGGAAAACACAATGCCAACATTGCAAGAAATTTGAACATATGGAGAAGAACTGTCATAAAAAAAAAAAACATCAAACACATTTCCCACAAGAGCATGAACTTCAACAACATCTTTTTTATACTACTCAAGACTCCGTGATGAAATAAGTGAAAGTTGATACTTGGATAACAAATGCAATAATTACATGGTCCTCATAATGTGCCGCTCTTGCTCTCTGCCACAATGTACCCTCACCCTTGCCCTCCATGTGACTTCACCCTCGTCTTGCACTCCATGTGACTTCGCCCTCATCTTGCCCTCACGCTTCATTTCATTGCGCCCTCGCTTTCACCCTCCATCGTGCTTTCACCCTCCATCGCGTTTTCATCATGTTGCACTCCCACCCTCTATCGCGCTCTCCCCCTCTCTTGTGTTATCACAATCCGTTGTGGTCTTAACCTCTATTGGAGTCTCACCCTCTATCATGGTTTCATGCTTATTGTGTTACCATTTATTCATTGTAATTTTTTCTTCAAATATTTCTTTGTGAATTATTGAAAATTTTAAATTATATATTATTTTATAATTATTTAGTATTGTTTTAAATTTGTTTGACACTTTTATATTTGTTTTTAGACTGATTTTTATTTACAAGTGAGAAATATCACAAAACAATAAGCATTATACAAAATAAAAACTAACTTTCTATGATTCTCCATAAAGCCGATTTTAAATGTTTATATTTTCAATATCAATTCTTTTACTATCGATACTAATTCTCTTATATCAAATATTGTTATTATAGCCACTTAATTACTTAAAAATTAAGTTCTTACATGATGCATCTTAGCCATAACAATTTCTTAAACAGTCTAAAAGATCTTAATTTTTGTATCATATGAAAATTAACTAAACCAAAATTTGTTCTTCGTTAAATTAAACTCCATCATATAACTAATAAAATATAACAAAATAGATATTATGTTTGTAGTATATATATATATATATATATATATATATATATATATATATATATATATATATATATATATATATATAAATTATTGATTTATTAGTATCATTCAACCTAATTAAATTATAAAATCTTGAATTAATGCATTGATTAATATAATAATTGGTTTGATTTTTAAAAATTCATTGTAAACGGTGTAATAAAGAGATAATAACTAATTTAGTCCTTAAAAGTGTTTGGATGTTTTAATTTAGCTATAAAATTTAGATAAATTAAAATGAAGTTTGTGAGTGCAACTTTTTCACCATCATTATTTAGTGTGTGTTTTGATTAGAGAATGGATTTAAGGGAGTGTAAATAAATGGATTTTAATGAAAAGAGAGGTACACTTGGAATTGTTTGGATTAAGGGGAAGTTCGTTAGAAATTGAGAGAAAATGAAATGAAAGTATGTGAATAATGTAATTAATTTGATAAATTAAAAAAAATAAAATTTAATTGATAAAATCATAAGATTATAATTTTACTTTGTCTTAAATAAATATTTTAGAATAAAATATAATTGATGTAAATAATGTTAAAATTAGATGTGATATATTATTTAAAATATAAAAGTTTAATATATGAATTTTTTATAAAATAAAATACATGAGTTAGAAATTTATTTGAAAAAAATTTGACATAATTTGTTTAAATAAAATAAAAGTGTAATTTAAAGTAATAAATTTGTTTTAAATGAATTATAAAGTTAATTTAAATTTAAGTATATGATTGAGAATGAAACTTGATAAAATAAATTGCATACTTAATTCTAAAATTATAGGGAAAAAGTGCCTAATAAATAAATGCAAAGCTAATAGAGACAAATATTCAAAGTGCAATGTGACAATATCCTGGTCATCCATAATAATAAACATAAATATAGCAGTAAGTAAACAAAGACATAACTTCATTAAAAAATTATGTTTAACTTCATTAAAGAGTCTTCAAAGTTGTCAAATTTCTCCTTCAAACGGTTAACTTTATCATGAACCCTATCGAAACCTATGCTAACAATTAGGTTTAGATTAGCTAAACTATATTCCATTCCCTGCATTCTTACTTGCATGTCCTGAATCCCTCAAATTTGTGATAACATTTGACCTTCATGGTGGATAGGGCTTTCTTGTTTAATATCGGCTACATCATCTTGAGGTATTATAGGATCTTCATCATCATCATTTTCATATTCTTAGTTAACCGTTCTACGTTGTCACACGCTGTTAACACAAATAATATTTAATTTTTTCGACGTCCTTTTACTAAAGTAATGAGTCCAACCGAAGACGATGGAGGAATCCAACATCAAATCTACGCCATAGTGAACCATTATGCGTATTATGAATATGATGTATGGAAGATGCATGTTATTGTTCCTATATTTCAACATGTGTTGCATAATATGATGCAACCAATTAATCAAAATATTATTTTTCAATGCCCACAACATAAGAATATCCTCCTATGTCAATTTTGTAAAATTTATCACTTGATGAGTCAATATATGAACAAGGACATAATGCAAAAGTTTGTCATTGATTTGTAAACTTCCTACATTCCTCACATTCTTGGACCTATGGTCTAAGCATGGAGTTCAATGTCATTTCTTGGTCATACTCCATGTCTTCAGAGATATTAGGAAATGACATCTTGTGACCTTCATATTTAAGAACATCTAGAGTTAACCAATCCGCAAGATTTATTTTGATCATTGTCATGTTGATCTCACTATACAGATATCCCATTCTGTGATTTTTAGGTTTGTGTAAAACATTTGAACTAACTGATCGCAATATTATGAATTTAGCATACAAAAATATGCCACCCTTTGGAAATAAATATGATTATGGAAGTGCAACCCTGATGTGGTGAAGAATGGGAAATTCATTACTCTTGAGATTAAAACTTTCCTCCTGTTACTTGAGTCATTAAAGTGCACCATTTTATCGTGTGTATTGAACAAATGCGTCAGATTTAATATGTTCTCAACCTCGAATTACTAGGGAGGGTTTCCAAGATCATAAGTAACACCTTTTCCACTTTTTTCCCTTGTCACTTCGATGTCTATTTGAAGAAGAGGAAGTCATACCTACAAATATAACATAATACCAAATGTGTGAATAGAAGGAAAAATAAACTACATACTACAATTAATCATAAGTTGTAAATGAATAAATCAAAACATAAATTAAAATTAAAGTACATGACATAAATATTAAAATAGTTGTCCAGTACATATTTACATCAATACAACCCACCAAAATAATTTTCAACCATATTACAAAATATCATGCCTAATTTCTCGACATCATACTAATTAACATGCTCAAAGGACATGAAGTTGACATCTCAAATAAACATTTAGTAGGTAATGGGTTCACACATAAAAAGTTGTGACACTGCACAGTAGTTTGTTTCTATTTTTAGTAGTCATCACTTGTCTTTCCGCATGCGTGGTTAATCTTTCAGAAATGTCATTACCATTGCCAATTGCTTCAACAACAAGATCCAATTTGGTATTTTAATGGTCAAATTGGGTTTCTACCACATTTATCATCGACCTTTTTCTTTTTAAGCCCCTGGAAGAGAATCGATGTACCACCGGATGGGATAGATGGAGTCGATACTAGACTATGTGAATCTACATATGTGGATGATTGAGGAACATCTTATGTTGTCCCAAGAAATGCAGGCTCCTCAAGGATATATAATTCATGTCATCATTTAAATCCATTAAGGAAGTATGTCATCGGATGCGTTGATGTATTTGACGTGTTGTACTTATCCATTACCGAGTGGCACGATCAACGCTCCATAATTCTAATTAAAATATTTTATGGTTCACGTTATAATTTTAATTAAAATCATTTAATATAATCCTAATTATAATAATTTAATATTAAATTAGTGCTAAGTTTATAAGTTCATATTAGACTATATTTAAAAAAATATTCAATATTTCATAAATTATAATTTCATACCTAATTTATATATATTATTAACAATCTTAAATTTAATTTTATTATACATTTTAATATATTATTAACAAACTTTATTTTTATAACTTCAATTTTTTTTTCTTATACTATGTAAATATGATATTTTAATATTTAATTAATAGAAACCTAAAATTTGATAAAATATCTATTATATATTTTAATATTATTTTAGTATATATTTACTATAAAATTATAAATTCATAAAAAATTAATATTATATTTTTATGTTTATACTTAATATATAATTTTTACCTAAATACAAGTTTTATATAAATAATAATTTGTATACCTAATCTATGTTAATCTAACTTAAAAAACTACTACAATCTCGATTTCACTTCAAACTTCAAATATTTTTCACATAATCTAACTTAAACACCTACTCTAATATCATTAATTACAATCTTTTCATAAAAGAATCATATTATTAATTAAGCGGATAACAAAAATTTAAACCAACAATTATATCAATTAACTTACCTCTGAATTGCAATTACAATCTTTTCATAAAAGAATCATATTATTAATTAAGCGGATAACAAAAATTTAAACCAACAATTATATCAATTAACTTACCTCTGAATTGCAACACCAATAATCACCACCTGCAGAAAAGACTTTATATGTCATGAGCTTTTCACGTCGGTTTATGTTGTTTTGAACCTAGTACCTTAAAGTCTAGAGTTAGAGAATAATACTCTAAGTTTACTTATTTACAATTACGTTTCCTAGTTAGAGAATAATACTCTAAGTTTACTTATTTACAATTACGTTTCCTTTATATTATATTTTTATTATACTTTATAATATATTATTTTATTATTAAATTAAGAAAATTGTCACTGCCAATATTCGAACCCAAGTACTTTAAAGTTAGAGACTGATACTCCAAACACTAAACTAGTACAATTTTTTAATTAATAACTTACAAATAAATTATATTTATATACAAATAAATATATATCCGTGTAAATATACAAATATAAAATATATAAATACAAATATATTTTGATATATTTATATATTTAATTTTTTTAATTTAATATAAAATTTCTATGTCGGTTAAACTAAAATTATATATTTCATAAAATACACTTTTTATGTCGGTTGAAATTTAACGAGACATAGAAAGTGAATTTGCCCACATATTATGTCAGTTACATAACAACCAACATAAAAAGTTCATAATATTATTACAAAAATGTCACCTCCCTACATACTATGACGGATGGATTACAACCGTTATAAAAAGTTATCATAAAATCATATTTTTCCATTAGTGATTAATCACCACGAACTAACACAAAGCATGACAGAAAACAACCAACAACACCACAACCACACTATCAAACCGGGCGACCACCACCCATAACACAATAAGCACCAAAACAACCACCACACAACCAACACGATGCGACGAGCACCACTACCACACGACCAACACGAGGAGCACCACCACTTACACATGAGGAGCACCACCACCATGAATGAAAATGAACATGGAGTAGCAACAATGGGACGACACTAACAACACAACAACCTTCACATGACCAAGAGGAGCACCACCACCACAACGAGACGACGAGCACCACTACCACGACTTACCGATCATCATGCACAACTTACGATACAATACAAGACATGTCAATGGTTGAAACATAACACAACTCATATACGAGAATCAATTCACATTAAAATAAAACGTGATTGAGAATCGAATCTAGCCCTCTAGAATCGATTATGTATTGGACAAGAATTGATTCTCCTTCGTCAAGAATCAATTCTAGACATGGAAAAAATGGAAAATGCATGTATAATAGAGACGATAATCGATTTTCGTTTGTTGAGAATCATTTCTCATAAGTGAGAATTTATTCTCATAAGCAAGAATCAGTTCTCCATTCAAGGCAAGCCATAATCGATTGTCAACTCGCAGAGAATCAATTCTCTGCGACCATTGTCACCCATAACCATTCTCTCTGTCACTCTCACCTACAAAAACACGACACACAGAACCAAACCACAATCACCAACACGTAGCCTATGCGATTGAGAACCACTAACCTCAATGTGAACGAGCAATGTATCGAATATGACCCACACCTCACAACTTAAACACATAACACCAAAGCCTCATCTCATGGGTATTTAATGGCACCCAACCTCTCACTACCATGGTCATGGTCAACACGACATGGGACAAATCTCCACCGTAGTTATAGCTGCATGCATGTGAGTTTGCAGGAATCTCGATAATGATTCCCTACATGAAAAAGTTTTTTCCCTATCGCCACTATTTCTAGATGTCATGCACAGTTATTTCACGTGGAGGTGGAGAGAGACAAAAATGTAAATGCATGTTGGATGAGTTGTGTTTATCCACTAATATCTTTGTTCAAACGAGGGCACTTTCATGACGCTCTCCCTTAAATTAACATTCACAAATCTCCTCAAATCGCTTGAAATAAACAATATCATTGTCACTTTTCCATCCGCATGAATAATAAATTAGTGGAAAAAAATCATAATAAGAATAACAAAAATTATTTTTAGATAGTTTTTATTTATTTAATAACATAAAATAGTTAACTGAAAAAAATATACAATAAAAGAATGAAAACACCATTCAATTAATTAAAATGTTGAATGTATTAATAAAATGTTAATGACGAGAACTTTCCCAAGAGGGGGGGTGAATTAGGTTTCTAATCAATTATTTAAAGAACTTTTCCTATAATCAATTATGAAAGAATTATCACAGTTTATAGAAAAACAAGTATACCAAGATAGAGAGAAAAAGAAAAGACACACAAATTTATACTGTGGTTCGATTCTTCTTGAATCTACATCCAGTTTTAACCAAGCTTGGGGTTTTTCACTTAATAGTAGATTTACAATCTAATCAACTAATCTTGATTTTACAATACTCTATAATCAAGACCACAGTTCTTGAAAATACTTTACCTCACAATTTTCAAGTTAAGCAGATATAGCTAGCCTCACATACATCAATGTTTAGAAACAAAGATACAAAAAAGAATATGAAACGTGTTCACCTGTAATTTACGGAACAATCAAACCTTATAGCCAAACAACTTTACTTTGAATTTGAAATCCCAAGTATTTTGTAGAAGTATACTATTTCCTTGATGCCCAAAACGTTCTTTCTAATTTCTTCTTTTCGTATTTGAAAGTGTTATTCATAAAAGAAATTTTACATCTTTTTATAAAAATAAAATTATTAGCAGATTTATCTAATCAATTATTTTAGTGCACCGATAGTTTGAAAATAGCCGGATATCGATTAGGTGTTTTCATAATCGATTATTAGCGTATTGTGTTAAAACAGAATTTTTGACAAATAATCGATTAAGTGACCACATAATCGATTATGAATGCGTATTATGAAAACTTAATTTTAAGTCATATAATCAATTATTAGTTGTTTTATCATATTTGATTATTCAAAGTTTAGCTTGTTTGACTTTATACAAATTAACTATCTTAATTACCTTGACATCATCAAAAAGAGATTTCCTAGTTTATCTTTCCTCATTCGTGAAGCTAAATATGTTTCATAAGATTTTATTTTATTTTAAAAAAATTTAAACAATAATAATTAAAGTTATTTGATTCCATTCTATTTTTCATCAAATTCATTATTTTTCAAAAGTTTTGTTTTTCTTCTTTAAATTAATTTAAAATGCTATTGTTTTCTTAGATTTGCAATTTTTTAATTTTGCACGCTTTATTCAATGATTGAATTAATAAAAGTATTAAATAAGCATGTAAATTTTCTATTTTTTAAACAATCCGTGCAAAACATGAATACTAGTGGTAGTTATAAAATTGGGTTAGCCAAAAAGAAAGTAAACAATTCTTTCATAGAAGCACATAACTATAAAGAACTTTTTAGGGAAAAAGCAAGTACCAAAACTAGAATATGTTCATAATTTTTGCACGAAACACATGCTAAAAGAAGTATACATAGAAATTATAATTAATTACATTATTTTTCAAATATGTAATTATGTAATTTTAAAGTTGATATTATTATATTAACAGAGTCTTCCATGTGTATAAAATATATACAATTTTCATCTTCTTACTTCTAAATGGACCTTCATGAATCATTGTTGTGTTTGTCCATTTGACACGTTTCTAACGTTATCACATCAATATATTTTAGGTTTAATTATATTTTTAATTTTTACAATTTAAAGTAATTATGATTTTTATCTCTCAAATCTTAAAAGACTTAATTTAGTTTTTCAAATTTAAAAATAATATAATTTAAATATTTAAAATTTGAGACACTAGAAATAATCTTAAAATTTTAATACTTAAATCCTAAAAACTCATTTTGGTATTTTAAACTTAGTCTTTTAGAACTAAAACTTTATTTTTATCAATTTTGAAAAATTAAAAACTTTTTAAATTTGAAAATAAAATAAAAATAGTATCAAATTTTTAAAAAATAGCATCTCATGGGAGTTGTTTGGTTAAATATTAAAGTAAAACATTAGTGGTTTCAAACAATTTTTCATTGAAGGAATATGTGATAAGATTTTTTTTCTTATACTTGTTTCATTAAATAATTTAAAAAATAAACAAAACAAAATAAATGAAAAAATAGAATAAAAAAAGAATGAGCAAAAAAATAAAAAAGGTTGTTATCACTGGATCAATGTTATAAATATAAAATATATTAAACAGTGTAAAATAATAATTATTAACATAAAATTAAAATACAATAAAATAATTATTATTTAAAATTTATATGATTAATATGAGATAAAAAATCTAAAATATATTTATAAAAAATTATATTAAAAAAATTGATGTTAATATGTTTTTTTTTACCAAACTGGATCCCAAAAATCCCAGATGATTAGTCCAATTTAAAGTTGGAAGAAAAAAAAAAGAAAAATCCTTGGATAATAATACTTGGAAGACCAATTTGAAAAATATTAAATCTTGAAAAACTAAAGATCATAAAATTAAGATAATTTGAGAACAAAAACGTAATTAGGTAAAAAAAAAAACTTTAAAAATATGTTGATTGATGATGGTGGCAAACCAACGTGCGTATGGGAATTTGTTTTTTTCAATAATGTCAATTTGTCCGATAAATCGACCCTTATTTTCCGGGAAATATTTTATCTTAGCGGATCTCCAAGTCCAAACCAATTCAAACACCATCTCCATGTATTTGTCTTGTTTGATGGTGGCAAAAACGTTAGTAGGAATTAAACGGTTCTCCTCAAATAGTACTAACGGAAGATTATCACGACAAGTCTCCCATTGATTAATGCAATCTTATTTGTGATTAGTACAAAGAAGAATTTACATTATCATTCACTGGACAGTGAATTTTTACATATCTATTTATACGTAGAAAATATACTCATATTTGCCATAGCGTAAGTGTATAACTTTCAGAAAACCCTCGAGACAAAAACTAGTTAGCTAGGTTTCGTATGTGGTGTGTGCCTCAGTGCATGAAGGCTAAGATGGCAAAAAACAGTAACAGCAACGTGAAATCTCAGAATATGATTAATGTGAAAGCTGTTGTGACTATTGAACAAAGTGATGGTGGCCTTGTACCAAATCTTATTAATTCAGCCCTTGGTGGGATCGAAGAGTTAGCTGGGAAAACATTTGCTTTGGAGCTTGTGAGTGAAAAACTTTATCCAAGTAAGTTCTACTTCTTTTCGTTATTTAGGTTTATTCCTTTTTATTCACATAAGATACATAAGAATGTGAAATAAAATATTAAAAATAACTATAGGTAATTTTAAACTTTAATTCCGCTCACAAAATCCGTCAACTCAATATAAGAATATGATGGATTTACCCAACCCACTTTAATAAATATTTATATTTTAAAATTAAAATAAAAAATTATAATTAAAAATATTATATTTTTTATGTTATATTATTAAAATATACAAATATATTATAATATTATAATTTAAATCATAAATATTAATCAATTAAATTTAAATTATTAACTATAATTAAGTATTATACAAATATAATAATTTTCTCAATTTATCTAAAATAATATCAATTAATAAATAAAAACTTAAAAATTATTTATATAATTAAATGTATATTTTCTTTAAAAAATACATATTAAAATATTTATATAAAAAATATTAATATACTGACTTACTAACCGTCATTAAATATGCAATCCGTTTTTATTATAACATATCAACCCATCTCCGATTATAACATACTATAAACACAATAAAACGAGACGAACGAGTATGTTTTTTTAAAGATTAATATTTACGTGTTTATCTCATGGGAATAAAATATTTATTTACTTCTAGCATTATTTTCCTTAATTTTCATGATAATATCAATTTAGGATGTATCAATATTTTAAATTCAACATTAATATTTTTAAATGCTAATTAAAGACTTAATTTAGAAAATGGACAAAATAATACAAAATTTGAAAAATTGAAATACTAAAAACTATGTTTTAAAATCAAGACATTGGAAAAAATAGGGTTGATTTTTATCCTAATATTTTTTAACATATTATTGTTACTTTTTATTTATTTGTAATATTATTGTCCCTTAACAGAGCAATAACCAGCCGTAAGAAAGTCAATTTACGTTAAATACATTGACGCCCCATTTTTTCGTCTGGTTTTTTCGTCTGATTTTGAGAAATGTTAAGATGTATTTGCAGAATATTGGTTAAAAATTTGATAGTAATTTTTGTGAAAGATGATTATTGATATGACACTTATCATAATTTCTGATAAAAAGAGACATATTTATTAATATTTTCAATAAACTAGAGTTCTTAAAAAAATTCTTGCATATAATTTTATATTTTTACTGATGCGAAAACTTTTATTTATTAATATTTAAAAATCAGATCGGACCAGCCAATTCAACTGATTTAGAAATTACAATATTATTTTTAAATAATCAGATTTTAATTAAATTAAGATAAAATTAAAAAATCAATACAAAATCAGAAAGATGGGACTATATTTAAGGTTGAACCAAATTTAATAAAAAAAATTAATTTTATTAATATACTTATTTATAAAATATATAATATATTTAATTTTTTTATGTAAATTTTGAATAATATTTATTTTATTATATTTTATCTTATTTTAATAATTATTTATCTTATATTCTCTAATAAAATTTTATATTTATAATTTTTAATGTAACTTAAGATAACCAATAATTCTTATTATTATTTTTCTATAAAAAAATATTATTATTAATGATCATATTATATTCTTATCATATTATAAAAAATTAATTTATTAAATCTAATTAGATCCTAATTAAATTTCGACTAAACCTTTAAATTTTAAACTTATATGTTCACCGATCTCCGTATCCAATTCAATTTTTAAAATATTCGTTAAATGATTAACAACACTTTACTTAATAATATTATTGGGATCCGTGTTTTCGAAATTAGTAACTCACTTTATAAAGTAAAATATTTTTAGTCATATTGATTTTATTTGTGGACATGAATGTATTGATATTGTTTCCGGTGGAATTTCGATCGATTTCGATTGAAAGGGTGTTTTGGTCCTAATCAAAATTCTACCACGTAAGTTCTTTTTACTTAGGCTAGCAATTTGATTTTCAATCGAAAACGCGTATGAGAATTGAAAACTACGAGGATATCGAAAATGTGGTTTTTGGTATTTTATGTTTAAAATGCTCGATTTCAACAAAGCGATAAAGTATTGAATCGAGAAAGAGAATATTAAATTGCAAGAAGGCGAAAACCCAAAGGGCATTAACTTAAATGACTAAGAATCGAAAGCGTGAAAACGTAAATGACCAGAAATTAAGTTTGCGAGATAAATAAAGGACGAGAAATCGAAATGTGCGGGAAATGTAAATTGCTAAAACCCATTAAAATTGCACGAGAAAGTAAATAACAGGAAATCGAAATGTGCGGAAAATGTAAATTGCTAAAACCCATTAAAATTGCACGAGAAAGTAAATAACGGAAATCGAAATGTGCGGAAAATGTAAATTGCTAAAACCCATTAAAATTGCACGAGAAAGTAAATAACGGGAAATCGAAATGTGCGGAAAATGTAAATTACTAAAACCCATTAAGATTGCACGAAAATTAAATAACGGGAAGTCGAAATATGCGGAAATCGAAATGACATTGAATGAAATATACAAGAATATGAAATTGCTTGAATTGGAATGGCTCGAAAGTAAATTACCAAGGAAAATAAGAAAGCGATAAATGTACTCGGTGAGCGAGGAAATCCAGTTGCCGGAAGCTTCATGGTGTTCGTCGTTTCTCCGGTAGACTTTTCACTGCGATTACGTTCTCTGCCAATTTCCGCTCTCCTGTTTCTCCTTTCTTTGTTCTATTTATAGGGCGTTGTTCAAGCCTTCTAAGAGCGGTTAACGAGGCTGCTACCACGTTCTTCGTGCGTATGACGGTTTCTTTTTACGGTTTTCCCATGTTCTCACGATCTTCAACTTTTCCATCACTTAGAAGCTGCTTTCGATGCGTGCGTTTTGACTACTTTCTTTCAAGGTTTAGCCAAGGTTATGATATCTGCAAAGCGAGCCTTCCCTTTGATTTAATCGAGAACTTTGCATACCTGGTATCGATTTATTTTAACCTTAACTCCATGTTAAGCTTTTCGACTATTACGCCTACTCTTCCAATTTTACCTTTCGATTTTATGTGTCACGTTCTTTATAATCGGACATCGGGAAAGTTCCCTTTCGATTCATTTCTCGATCGAGACTTCTCGATTCCACACTATGACTTAGTCTTTATTTGGCAGCAGTAGTTCATTTCTCGATTGTGCTTCTCGATGTTATATGCTACGTGTTTCAATTTGGACATCGAATGAATATTTGTTTATCTTATCGAGTCATATTTCTTTTCCCTTCGATTCGATTGTGTTTCTCGATTTGCTACTAACAAATGCCCCCTTGAAAGAATATGAATAATTTCGGTTTATATTCTTTCAATATTCCGCTTTAATGTTCGGAGGCCCATAGAACTTTAGGGTTTAGGGTTTACGGGGTTCTAGGGTTAAAAGGGTTTTAGGTTTCCCTTTCGTCTTTACGTCGCTATCATATCGGTCATGTTGCTTTTACGATGCTGTTGCATTTATTACCTTTCACCTCCGTCGTTCCATCTCCTATACGATTTCCTTTTAACCTCTCAACCTATCTTTACTACGGCTTTACGCGAACTTTTATCCTCTGCTGAAAACTTGTCTTCTTCCCTAAGCTCCTGCCTTCGTTTACGTTACCTTACTGTCACCTTCTTTATTATTTCTCTAATCTTACTATAATGGCCTCTTCATCTAAGTCATCGATTTCTCGGCTCCTCCTCTTACCTCATCTACTTCTACCTTCTTTGGAAATTAACAACCGGCGGTTTGCTCCCTTGCCTTTAATGGAAGAGGCCTCTAAAAGGATTCTTGAAACTCGGGTATTAGTTCCTTACCTTGTTGGTGGGGTTGGTTTTGGTTTTGGGGGCCCCATTCTTTACGATAGTGGAGCAGTTTCTCCCCTCACCCTCTCAAGCGGCCACTGCTCTAGTTCATCGGCCAGAAGTTAGGATCGATTTTTTGAATTTTGTTTCCAAGGTGTATAGGACGGGTCCTCCCTCCAAAAAATCTTTGTTCACTCGATGGTTTGATAGGGTCAAGGCTAAATTCGGGGACCATTGGAAGAATGTGGGGGTTTATGATTTTCTACATTTATCTCGATGTGATTTATCCTACCTCGATATGGCTATGTTCATGGCTGCAGTGCACCTATGGAATAAAGAGATACATGCATTGGAATTACCTTGTGGCCCCTCTCACCTACTCTTCTCGATGTTGCGGCCATCATTGGGTTGAAACCTATAGGGGAAAGATATTTTCGGGGTGCGTGTCCTTCGAGATAATTCGTTGAAGTCAAAAATCGATTGGGAATCGAAGGCTACGGGCATTTCATTGAGAAGCATTTCGTTGATGATCCCTCGATAGATGTCAGCGATGAAGAACATGTAGCGTTTTTGGTGTATTGGTTGTGCACCCATGTGTTTTGCCCCGTCGATCCAAATTTCCCCTCATCTCTTCAATCTTGCTTATCTCCTTCACTTAGGTCAACCCGCCTATGTTTGGCCAAGCTTTTGCTAGCACATGTATATACAGCTTTCGACGAAGTTTGTCGAAATTTTAAATACTCCTAAGGCATCGGGGAATTTTTACGGCCTGTTTGGTTCATACGGCTATGGTTAACATCCGTTTTTGAGAGTGTCCTTCCTCGATATTCTCTTGTCCCCCTAAGTGTAAATATAGAAGGGGCTCGATTATCCTCCAGTCACCCTCGCTATAAATCGACGAAGCCACATATTGTAAATATCTCCAATTTTTGTTAACTTGATTTGTTTTCGATTCAACCTTAGCCCCTTTTCTTGTAAATTTTGAGCGAGTAAGTGACCAACTTAGGGGACCGTCTGGTTCAAGTCAAGATTTCTGCCTCGGCCCACGGGTTACAATTAGAAGCCGATCGATATATGGAGTGGCTACTTGACCCATGATGTGCTAGTATCGGGTTTCCACCCGGGGATTTCAAGTTCGTTACTTACTACCCCGACTTTTTCCAGACGGTTTGGCACGAGCCGGTCTTTACCCTTTTTCCCTTTAAGTTCCTTCCCTAAATCCAAATTGAGTAGAATCGAACATCGGTAGAGAGCTTGCTAAATTTTTGCCAAGACCCTCGATGCATTTTTATCCATATGCATTTGAGTCAAATTACTTATCGATTGTGGAATTTTCTCGATGGTGGACTAATTGGTTTTCAAGTAATCGTGCTATTTTTGATGAGGTTCGACAGAGCTGATTGCTCATCCTTCTCTTGTGTTGCGGGACAAGTCAAAGGGAAGAAAGGTACACACTTCCCTTGTCTCCAAATATCTCGATTCGAGAATTTTTATCAAATATGTTATACTCCACTAAAACTAGAATCGACCTTTTATGATCTTGTCATTTCTTTATCCGAAAAACGAGATACCGATAGATCGAACCACAAAATAATTAATCCCTTAGGAAAAACCCCTTTCGAAATGTATTGTCCTACTCACCTTCCCACTTTTCCTACGGCACCTTTTGGACTCGCAAAACCTTTAACTCATCCCAAATGGGTTCGAGAATTGAGAACCCTTAGAGAAACCGTCGCCCAAAACCCAAAAACAAAGACATTTACGTATCGAAATTGTTTTACTTTCCTTACCTTAACCTCCACTGAAGCTCTCCTGCCTCCTTGGCTAGTACATATTGATCGAGTCAAAATTTTGACTCCATCACCTTTGGTGAGGTTTTATTGTTTTCTCTCGGTTTTCGATTACGTGTTTTGGAAGCGACTATCTTCATTCTTTGGCGGTTTCAAAATCTACTAAGGTGGTTGCCTTCGAGAAGGCACAAGAGGAAGGAAAGGACGCAAGGCTAGGAGTCCCCGGATGAATCGGACCCTACGGCCTTCACCGGGAAACGAAAACAATCGGCCACCACTACTTCATCTTCGAAAAAATCGAAGGTTCTTTTCGATCTCTTTGTCTCATCCATTCTTACTGTTTATAACATGTTTCCCTATGGAGCCTCAAACCTCTTTTCGATTTCTACCCTACGGAAAAAATCGAAGAGTCCCCGATCGATCCAACCATCCACGGCGAGATCCATTGTCGATGGATTCGAACACCGTTCCTTCTACGGGTCAAACAACGCCGTCACCCATTCCGATCATGTGAGTTTTCTTTTCCTCTACCTTTCATGTCTTAGATTTTGTTAAGACTTGTATCATGACTTATATTTTCGATAAATTTTCTAGGATAATCCATCGGTGGCTTGTATCGACTACTGTCGAAACTCGACTTGACCTTGACACCAATTCTGAGGTATAATTCTATTTTACTTGTGTATACCTCTTTTGACTTGCCTATTTTTTCTTTTTCCTAACTCTCTTTTTTGATTCTGACAATACGAGGCTGTACGGAGTCCTCCTCGTGCTTCGACGCAGCTTGCTCTTCCTCCACATGGTATTTTCTTTCTTCTTATGTCATTTCGATTCTTTATTTTATCCTTTATATAACTTTAACTCATTTTTCAACTTGTTTTCTTTTTCGAGTAATTATTCCCACGGTCCAAATCCCGAGACTCCCCATCTCCCACTACCACCTAGAACAAATGGGTTCTCACCCATTCTTAATGCTGAGGTCGAACTCATCTCCCCAGCGTTGCCCATGTTGGCCAGGGCCTATTTCTACCAATGTCTTGGGAGTATCGAGCGCCATCGAGGAAGACCCTTTCTCGATTCTCGATATTTTAGTATCAAGGGATGCCACTTCCTCAAGCCGGTCTTCTCGACCACCAATGATTTCGGCTGAAGGAGTGTACCGGCTCGAACAACGCTTGAGAACTTTCTTCTATTCCTCGCCTCTGGAGGTCTTAGTAGAATCGGTAGAAAGAAGAAACTTTTTAAAGAGATTCTCGCATCAATAGAGACCTTCCACTGAAGAGGCCTTTCCAAAAGGCTTCGATGCGGAGGTCGCGGCGGCCTGAAGCTGTTCAACCAGGCCTATCTTGCAAAGAAGAAAAGGCAATCGATTACGGCGAGTTATGCGAAGTTCTTGCTTTCAGTGAGAAATGCTGCTTTATTGAAGACTCAAAAACTCAATCGAGGGGAGATCTTGACGAGCGTTGCCTTCGGTCGGAGGTGAAATCGAAGATTTAGAGAAGAGGCTTCAACGGTGAAATCGCGGGAAGAGTTTCTCACTTCGAGTTAAATAAGATTAATTCTTAGCGAAGGAAGTGGCGTTATCCCTTGGCCGAGCATGGAACGTCAACATGAGTTGGTCATCGAGGAGAGTTCGATTTCGGCGTCTTGGGCGCAATTGTTAATGGATTTTGATAGTTTACGATCTGAATATGTATCTTTGTAAACATGACTCCTTTCATTTAAATGTCAATGCTTATTTCTCTTATTCGAGGTTTATATGTCTTTAAGTACTTTCCATTTATCGATAACACTTTATCTTTGTTATACCAATCGATGATCGAATAAGCATTACCGATAAAATTTTAACGACCTCGAAGGGACCCTCCCGATTTGGTGACCACTTCCCATAGCTTTTACATTTCTTGTCTATTGGCAAAATTGTTTTCCACACTAAGTCACCTTTGTCAAACTTTTTCTTTCGAACTCTTTTATTATAGATTCGAGCAATTTGATTCTTACGCAACATCATACTATTCAACGATTGTAATCTTATTTCATCGAGTTCGTTTAATTCATCATACATCAAACTCCAATAATCACAATTTGGGTAACCCATTTTGCCTTTGTATTCGATTCGATTCGATATTTATTTCGATAGGCAAAACCGCATCATGTCAGTATACTAACTTGTATGGGGTATTACGTAAAGAATCTTTAGGTGAATTTCGATAAGCCCACGGGATTTGCAACAACGTTTCATGCCATGTTTTTGGTTTATTACCAACGTGTTTCTTGATTAATCAGATAATTATCTTGTTAATTGCTTCGACCTGCCCATTAGCTTGAGCATAATATGGAGTTGATGTTAATAATTGGATATTTCTCGATTCGGCATATTTGGTTATCTTTCTACCGATAAACACTTGTCCCTCTATCTGTGGTAATAGATTGTGGGATCCCAAATCGATAAGCGATGTATTCTTCAATAAAATCAATTACATCTTGTTGATCAACATCTTTTAATGGTATTGCTTCTACCCATTTTGAAAAGTAATCGACGGCAACGATTATATATCTATGTCCTTTCGATGATTGTGGGAAAATCTGTCAGATTAAATCTATAGCCCAACCTCTAAAAGGCCAAGGTTTGATAATCGAGTGTAATTCACTTGCGGGCATTTGTTGTATCGGATTGAACTTTTGACATTCTTCACGGGACTTGGCATATTCGATACAATCTTTTAAAATCGAGGGCCAATAATAACCTTGTCGAGTTAATGTCCATTTCATTTTTTGACCTACAGTATGGGCCCCACATATTCCATTATGTACTTCGACCATTGCTAAGTAAGCATCATCATTTCCTAAACATCTAAGTAATACTCCATCGATTCCCCTTTTATATAACTCATCATTTATCAAAACATATTTCATCTGCTCGATATTTAATTTTCTTGTCAATTTTCCCATTGGGATTTTGCAAATAATTTATAATTGATTTTCTCCAATCTTGATCATCTAGATCATTAATGTGCGAGAATCTCATTTTCTTGAGGTAATTTTCCTTTGATTTGAATTATTTCTTGTAACCTTTAGGGGATATCTTGTATTTTGATGCAATTTGTGCTAAGTCATTTGCTTCTTGATTGAATTCTCGAGGAATATATTCGAAGATTATGTCATCGAACATTCTACTTAAAGTCATCACTCTTTCCAAATATCGATCAAGTTGATATTAATGCATTTATACTCTTTTCGCACTTGTTTGATCACTAATTGTGAATCACCTCTTATAACCACATGTCGAGCTTTTAATTTGATTAAAGTCTCGAGACCACTATCAAAGCTTCATATTCGGCTTCGTTGTTCGAACACATAGGTTGAACCTCAAATAATAACTTAGTCGGAATATTGTTTGGAGAAATAATCGAACTCCTATTCGAGATCTATTCGATGTACTTGAACCATCGAAATACATTATCCATTTACTTATTTCGATAAACAAATTCTCGGTGGAGTCAATTGTATGCTCGGCCATAAAATCGGCAATTACTTGACCTTTTATCGATTTTAAAGATTCGAAGGATAATGAGAACTTCTGTCAAAGCTAACACCCATTTTCCTATTCTATTATGCATAATTGGTTTCGATAAAAGAAACTTCAAAATATTATTTCTAGAATAGACCATTACATCATGAGGCTTCATTACATACTTGAGTTTTGTGCAAGAGAAATACAAGCATAACCCTAATTTCTCGATATCACTATATCGAGTTTCGGCATCATTTAAAATTCTACTTAGATAATACACGGCACATTCCACACCATTCTCATCTTCTTGTGCTAATAAACTCGCTATCGTTTGATCCGATCTTTGATACATATAACTTCGAGTGCCTTGTTTCTCTTTCTTGGAATCATAATCGGAGGATTTGTCGGCATCTTTTAATTTGCTCGAAGGCTTCTTGATGTTCCTCTTTCCACTTAAACTCTGCTTCTTTTTTCAACTTTAACAAAGACGAAAAAACATAAGTTTCTTAGGCCAGATTAGAAATAAATCGTCTCAAATAATTTATTTTTCCCAAAAAAGATTGTAACTCTTTCTTGGTTTTTGGAGCGAGAGGTATTTATTATTGCTTTTGCTTTATTTTTATCGATCTCGATACCCTTTCCATGTACTATAAATCCTAAAAATTCACCGCGAGATACACCAAAGGCACATTTCAAGGGATTCATTTTTAATCCATATTTTCTCATTCTCTCGAAGGATTTTCTCAAATTGCTTAAGTGTTGATGTTTCTCTTTCGATACGACTACAATATCATCTATGTAAACTTGCATATAATCATTGATCAAGTCATGAAAAATTAAATTCATTGCTCTACGATATGTAGCTCCGGCATTTTTTAATCCAAATGGCATCACTACCCATTCGTAAGTACCTAATGCCCCAGGGCATCGAAAAGCTGTTTTAGCTATATCATTTTCGAGACACAAATATTTGATTATATCACGAATAACCATCTAAAAGACTTAACATTTCATTACCGGCTACTGCATCTATTAGCATATCGGCTATTGGCATAGGATATTCATCTTTAGGAGTGGCTAAATTCAAGTCTCGATAATCGATACACACTCTTATTTTACCATTCTTTTTAATCACGGGTACAATATTAGAAATCCAATCGACATACACAGCGGTTCGATGAATTTTGCCTTCGGGAGTCTCTCGACTTCTTCCTTGATCTTGTTCATCACCTCGGGTGCAAATCTCCTTGGTGCTTGTTTCTTGGTTTTCTTCCTTCGATGATGGGTAATCTATGCTCGACAAGATTTCGATCCAATCCAGGCATTTCTTCATATTCCCAAGCGAAGCGAGTCTTTATATTCTCTTAACAAGGAGATCATTTCTTTCTTTAAATCTTCCTCGAGATATTTGCTTGATATACGTAGGCTTTTGTTCTTCTTCACTTCCTAAGTTAACTTCCTCTAATGGATCCTGAGCCTCGACTTTTTTATAATTTGATGTAATAGATTTTCGAAACCTAAAGGCGAAAAATCGTAAATACAATCAAGTATAACTTGATCGCTATTATTTGCAACTACGGTCGAATAAATCGACTTACTACTTTCTTGGCTCTTCTTCCCATCTTCATATTTTCCCAATCGAGCCAAGAATTCTTCATAATTTCTATTCATCTTCACCGGCCACTTCGAGGTTGGCCCCTCCTTGATCATAACAAAACCCTTTTCCTCATTCATCTTAAGGAAACGATCTTCATGTAACTTTGAGTTGAAATCTTCGATAGTTTCGAAGGTGAATGGTCGAACGAGTGCTAAGTTACGTGTAGCGCGACCGGCACTGGGATAGGAAAGTTACAAACTCGTCTTGGTCCCACAGGATAATTTCGAGATGTCCATCTCGATTCCACATAAATAGTTTACGATGAGGTGTCGAAGGTACGGCTCCCACTCCATGGATCCATTCTCTACCAAGTAGTGCATTAAAGTTGGCGTGCGATTGGACCACAACAAATACGGTAGGCCTTGAGTAAGTACCTACCTTCACGTCTAACGCGATCATACCCTACGATCACGATGTTTTTCAGCTGAAATCGGAAATCATAATGTTGTGTTTGACTAAATCTTTAAGCTCGATGCCAAACCTCTTCGGCATGGAGATTGGCAATATGTTCTTCTTTGCGCCACCATCGATAAGAACTTTGTTCACCATTTGTCCCTGGATCTCGATGTTTAATAGTAAAGGCTTCAAGTGGAACCTCATTTCTTCGAGATGGAGGGTCGATGAAGGCGGCATCTCTATGAGGTATTTCGCACGATGCACGAGTTACCCATGTCACCTTTGGCACTGATGTTTTACGAATAGAAGTCATCTTCTCGATTAGCATCACTCTGTTCATGATATTCCTTGTATTCGTTGACATATTCAGCGGGTAATATCGATATCACTCCGATTTGATGTTCGTTCCGGTTGCCTTCATTCTTATCATCGAAGAATTCCCTTGAATATTGGCTTTCCATAGGTACAATATTCTCTTCAAAGTTTCTATAATTACTCCGATAAGGGATCCTTCCTCCTCTTCTCCAAGGCCTTCCTCGGAATCTTCTTGGGAATGTTGGGAATCCGGTGTTTGATCTTTCATCATATGATAGTCTCTCGAAGACATCATTACTTTGAAGTCTTCCTCTTCCTCCTCGAGAAGGATACATCTCTCTTCTAACCCATTGCCTTTGATTCCGCTAATACCGGAACCAGCAGTTACGTTGACTTTCTTCGATAGTTGGTCGGGCCGTTTGCTCCACTTTATCATTTTTCCTTTTGTTTAGACTCTCGATCTTCTTTGTTTGTTCAATTTTGAAAGCTTTGGCGGTGATTTATCGAAAACCGCACTTGCACAGTGGGCATAGCGACACGTCTTCGTCTTTCTCTTTCTTCCTATTCAAAAATTCAACGAGGAGTCTCCTGCTCGAGGATATATCTCTTTCTCAAATTCTTTTTCGAATTCGTTCAAGTCGAACTCCATATCTTCCTACGATACGTCCATTACGGTATGCTTGGGATCGATGTCTTCGGTAACATCGACCATGCCTATGAAGGTGGCATTCATCGGTCTAACGTCATCCTTCATCTCGGTTTGGGATTCAACATATCCCACTTGGACTTGAACGGACTCGTGTCCACTTTCATCGATGTCTCTCCAAACTTCGGTCTTCCTTGGTCGATTGCATCTTGAATCGTGTTCATGAAATGTATACAATTATTAGTCCGGTGTCCATAAATATTATGAAATTTACAATATTTTCGACCACCCCTTTGTTACTGCGAAGGCGGTTTGTGATCTTCGCTTAACTTAATCTGTTTATCTTTTAGTAGAATGTCGAAGATCTTATACGCTTTTGTTACATCGAAAGTGTAGGTTCGGTTTGCCATTTTATCCTTCACTTCATTCTTTTGCAACAATTTACAAGTATATGGAGCTCCTACTTTGAGCTCTGCTATATTTACTTTCTCATCGACATTTTCCTCGATATCGGTTTACGTCGAGGTATCTACTTCATACACATCATTTATATAGGCTATTCTTTCTTTTTTCATAGGTTTCTCAAATTTCTTGTGCCTTTGCTTTCTCATATTCGATTTGTTCCACTCTCCTCACTTTATCGACTAAGCTGAGCCATGTCATTTAATGGCAAATTTACCAACTTTTTCCTAATCGAGAATTCTAAACCTGCGAAGCCATCCGACTAATTCATATTCGGGAATTTGAGTAAAACATCTTGATTTCATTTGTCTAAATCGATTCGAGATAATCATCTATGTTTTCATGATTATATCGTTTTATGTTCATCAAATCAATGAGACTTACTTGAGTTTCTCCTCTAAAGAATTGTTCATGGAAATTTCTTTCTAAGCTGCAACCAATTATATATCGAATTGGGCGGCAATGAAGTAAACCAAGTGAAAGCATTCTTAGTCAAGGAACTAGGGAAATACTTCATTTTTAACTCTTCACTCATTGCTAAGTCCCCACACTCTATCGATATCGAGCTACATGCTCGATAGTTGATTCACCAACCTCTCCGGCAAATTTAGTGAATTTGGGTACTTTGTATCCTCGAGGCAATTACGTCTCGAGAATCGCATTGGAAAAGGAGACACTAAAATATGTCGATTGGGTGGTCTTACATCAGTCCCTTGGAAATTCATCCTTTGTCCTAACATGTGATTATATTGCATATTATTCTGATTATGAATATTTTGAAATCCCTCATTCGGATTTCAGTAAATATCATTCCTCACATATTGATATTCGTTCCCCATTTGCTTGATATTGATCATTGTTCAGATTCCTTCTTAATAAATAAGGGGGATTAATATTCGATTGGCATGATTCTCAATCCTCGTTTGTCGAGGTACGGCCAATGCGTCTCCAATTCGAGACATTTGATCCGCTAATATCTCGAAACTAGCGGTAGTATTTTGAACTAATGGGTTTAAGGCCGTAGTCAGCTGCTTGTGATAACATATTCACCATTTCAAAATTACTCTCATCCATTTGTTGTCTAAGTATTCCTAGGGAGTTCTTGGAAATCCCAGTATTAGTATTTTCAATATTCTCGAAATTAGATCGATGATAGTCCCTATCAAATGCATATCTCCCATGATCGAGATTCCCCCTAGGATCTAGATTTGGAGGTGTACATTTGTATCCCTAAGTTTGGTCCATTCCACTGAATTTTGTGATGTCAGCTGAATTTTGAGATGCTCCTAAATGTGTAGATACTCCAAAGTTTTGTGGCATGCCTAGGGTTTGAAATGTACCTACGTTTTGAGGCATTCCTAAGGCTGAATCGTGAATTTCTATGTATCGATGAAGTGCCGGTTCCATTCATGTTATTGGATAAGAAACCGGGTGGTCTTACACTAGTATATGGCCCTGCATATGTGGTTATGGGGTTTCCCATAGTTTGCATATTATTTGATATTGCTATACTAGCTCCTACATGGGTGTTTGCCAATGGACCTGGATTTTGTTCATTACTTATTGGTATCGACGTGCTCACGGTTGTCGACACTCTCAGGTATACTCCCATTATGCCCTTGCCCTTGCCCCCGAGTATTTGGTGGGAGCACACCACTTAGACCCTCATTGTTATTCGACTACTTGAGGAATTCGACTCATTCTTATAACTCTCCCACTTCTTAATCTCATACACTCTCGAACTAACCTCTTTTGTGTTTTTTCAACACAAGTCCCCTACTGGCGCGCCAATTTGTTTACGGTGGAATTTCGATCGATTTCGATTCTAAGGGTGTTTTGGTCTAATCAAAATTCTACCACGTAAGTTCTTTTTACTTAGGCTAGCAATTTGATTTTCAATCGAAACGCGTATGAGAATTGAAAACTACGGGATATCGAAAATGTGGTTTTTGGTATTTTATGTCTAAAATGCTTGACTCAAACAAAACGAGTAAAGTATCGAATCGAGCAAAGAGAATATTAAATTGCAAGAAAGTGCGAAAACCCAGAATTTGCAAGAAATTAAGTTTGCGAGATAAATAAAGGACGGGAAATCGAAATGTGCGGGAAATGTAAATTGCTAAAACCCATTAAAATTGCACGAGAAAGTAAATAACGGGAAATCGAAATGTGCGGAAAATGTAAATTGCTAAAACCCATTAAAATTGCACAGAAAGTAAATAACAGGAAATCGAAATGTGCGGAAAATGTAAATTGCTAAAACCCATTAAAATTGCACGGAAAGTAAATAACGGAAATCGAAATGTGCGGAAAATGTAAATTACTAAAACCCATTAAGATTGCACAGAAATTAAATAACGGAAGTCGAAATATGCGGAAATCGAAATGACATTGAATGAAATATACAAGAATATGAAATTGCTTGAATTGGAATGGCTCGAAAGTAAATTACCAAGGAAAATATAGAAAGCGATAAATGTACTCGGTGAGCGAGGAAATCAGTTGCCGGAAGCTTCATGGTGTTCGTCGTTTCTCAGGTAGACTTTTCACTGCTGATTACGTTCTCTGCCAATTTCCGCTCCTCTGTTTCTCCTTTCTTTGTTCTATTTATAGGGCGTTGTTCAAGCCTTCTAAGAGCGGTTAACGAGGCTGCTACCACGTTCTTCGTGCGTATGACGGTTTCTTTTTACGGTTTTCCCATGTTCTCACGATCTTCAACTTTTCCATCACTTAGAAGCTGCTTTCGATACGTGCGTTTTGACTACTTTCTTTCAAGGTTTAGCCAAGGTTATGATATCTCGACAACGAGCCTTCCCTTTGATTTAATCGAGAACTTTGCATACCTGGTATCGATTTATTTTAACCTTAACTCCATGTTAAGCTTTTCGACTATTACGCCTACTCTTCCAATTTTACCTTTCGATTTTATGTGTCACGTTCTTTATAATCGGACATCGGGAAAGTTCCCTTTCGATTCATTTCTCGATCAGACTTCTCGATTCCACACTATGACTTAGTCTTTATTTGGCGACAGCCGTTCATTTCTCGATTGTGCTTCTCGATGTTATATGCTACGTGTTTCAATTTGGACATCGAATGAATATTTGTTTATCGAGTCTTTTTCCCTTCGATTCCGATTGTGTTTCTCGATTTGCTACTAACAGATATATTAATAATTAAAACTCTCATTTATAACTTTTATTGTTTAATTTATTCTGTGTCCCTTTAGGAGAAGGAGATCTTCATTATATTTCCTTCTCGAAAATGATGTAAAATATAAAAAGTATTAATTGATGTAAAAATAGTGTAAAAAATTAATGAGCAATATAAATATATGGTCCTATAATAAAACCAATTAGATTAGGTTAATAACAAATCATACTTTTATTATATACTTCTCTTGTATTTTTTTTAATATACAAGTTTAAAATTATATTAATTATTACTATAAAAATAAAAATTAATAGATTATCGTAAATAATTTTCATTGATAAGAAGATTTTAAAGAATAAGAGTATTATTTGAAAAATTGATAAATTATTGTAAATAATAATAATTAATATTTTTATTTATATATAATCAAATTTTAAATACATATATTAAGAAATAAAGAGAATAATATTTTTTAGTCTGAGTTTGTTGGGATTGCAACTGTTTTTACTAGGTTGCCAACTAGTTATAATAAAGGATGAAAAATAATTAATGAATATTATTTTTTTTACATAAAATAAGTAGAGGTCACAAAAATGGGACACGTTAACCGTTCACTTGTTTTTTTTTTAAATTAAATATTAAAATTAAAAAATTATAATTAAACATATTATATTTTTTTATATTGTTGAAATATGTAAAAATATTATAATATTATAATTTAAATTATAATATTAATTAATTAAATTCAAATTATTGATTATAATTATGTTAACATACAAATATAATATTTTTTATCTAATAAAAATTTAATTAGTAAGTAAAAACTAAAAAAATAATTATTTATATAATTAAATATATATTTAAAAAAATATATAAAAAAATTTTATATAAAAAAAATATTGACAGATAACTGTTATAAAGATATGTAATTTATATTGATTATGGTGAGTGAGTCCATCCTATTATTTTTAATGAGGTTGAGGCGGACCAGAACTTCTTACTTTCTTTTTATTATTTGACCCCTTATTTTCAATTCTGTGAATGAAGAAACGAACTCAGAGAGGAAAACACCAAAAACTTCAGCTCAAAGTAGAGAGAAAAACGAAGACATCCTATTGTATGAGGCTCAATTTGAGTTATCCACAGAATTTGGGAATGTGGGTGCTGTTATGATTGAAAATGAGCAACAAGATGAGGTGTTGCTGAAGAGTATAGTTCTTCATGGTTTCCCTGGTGGCCCTCTTCACTTCATTTGTAATTCATGGATTCAACCTAACCATGCCAGTGCCACCAAGAGAGTCTTCTTCACCAACAAGGTCAGAATTTAGAAATTTTATTTTAAACATTTTCTGTTTCATGGAAAACAGTTTTAGATTAAAGATATGTCTAGACAAACTTTTTCACAAATATTCATAAAATAAAATAAAAAATGAAATAGACTTTTCCATAAATTAGAAGTAACTTGTATCTATATTAAAAATAATAATTTAAAAAGTTATATAAGTAAATTTTTACTTATTAACTTATGTAATTTTTTTTCCAAAAAAAATAAACTTACAAAATATCATAATTATTTTTTAATAGAAAATTGTTTTACATTACACTAATACTTATTACACCATATTTCGTAAATTTGTATACTCCGACAGTCACAATATATATTTATGCATGTTTTTCACATCATATTTATACTTTTCATTCCTTAGTCTTAACCTCTCAATATTAGAGAGAACCTTCCTTTGTTTCAGAAGTTCCAGCATGAAACCATAACTGCACATATTTTTCTCAGTAACATTTATTTTTGTGGTTTTTCATTTTATTTCATGAGTTTGATTTTTATGCATGGCAATGTAAAATAATTTACAACATCAACTAATTCATAAAAAAACATATTAGATATAAATTGTAAAATAATTAGCCTAAAATTCAATCAAACTTTTTTTGTATAAAGATTTTGAATATTGATCAACCTTCGTTGTTGTAGATGCATATTTATATATTTTTAGGGGTATGTTTAGACAAAATATAAGTAGTTTCATTAAAAAAAATATTAATATTAGTTTTGGTCTAACATAAATATATAAATTATTTTGTAAAATTTATTTAACTTATTTTTATATTTTTATTTTAATTTATATATAAATTAATTTTTCACTTATGTATAAGTCAAATATCATTTTTTTAAAATTTTATAAAGACTTATTAAGAAACTTGTATAAATATATGTTATTTCTAAATTTGAAATATTTTAACACATAAACATGAAACAGTCGTATCTACCATCTCAGACACCAAGAGGATTACAAAGATTGAGAGAAGAGGAGCTACTTCTCCTAAGAGGAAATGGAGAAGGAGAACGTAAAGACGGTGATAGAATATATGATTATGATGTGTATAATGATCTTGGAGATCCTGATACTAATATTGATCTCAAAAGACCTGTTCTTGGTGGTTCCAAACAATATCCATATCCAAGACGTTGTCGCACTGGTCGAAATAAGTCTAATGCAGGTTATTTTATCTCTTCCTTATGTCAATAATATCTTTGTATATGTTTAACATTTTTATAATAATTTTTTTAAAATGTATTTTTGAAATGGAAGATCATAAGAGAGTTAGAAATGTCAGAGTAAAAAAAAAAAACAATTTTAACGATCGACAAATTCAATCGTTGTTAAAAAATCGATCCCTAATTAGTTAATAACCAAAATATATCGTTACAAAAAATTAAATTGTTTATACGTGACCGATTTTCATTTCGGTCGTAAAATAGCGACCGATAAGATGATCGCTAAGGTGATCGCTTAATAATTCGGTCATTTATTTCTTAGAGACCAAAATAACAACCAAAATTAATATATTAAATCGATTGCTAAATTAGGGATAAAGTTAAAAAAAATAACGACTGATATAATCGATCACTAATATATTAATTAAATTATATAAATAATAATTTAAATCGCTTGTTAAATAGATAACAAGAATAGTGACTAAAATTAAGATATTAAATTGATCACTAAATTGGTGGTAATATTAAAAAAAATAACGATCGATATAATCGATCGCTAATATATTAATTAAATTTTTTAAATAATAATTTAAATCGATCACTAAATCGATCGCAAAAATAGCCTCGAAATAGTTTTGATCGCTAAATTTCAATTAAATATTATAATATATTTGTAGTGATCGAAAATTCGATCGCTAACAAAATCTAATTTTTTTCTAATTTTGTATATTCAATTTTTCAGAATTTGTACCTGCTTAATTGATAAAAAAATTTAATCATCATAAATAATAAATGTCATCATCCCTGAATATTAATCATCCTAAATTTTAATCATTCAATACAATATTCTAATCAACCTTGAAAATTTTCAATTTATGAATGAATGTCATCAAACAAAACACAAGTGAAAACTTGAACTCTCCAAACCATCTATCTCGAAGCTCAAGTGAAACCTTTCTCCAAGTGGGTCTTGGTCCATCAAATTTTTGTTTGATGATTCTATAAATTATAGCAGGAGGACCATTTACTGGTATAAACCTATGTTCAAACATATTGTGGGATTGATATTATTAAGAAATTTCATATTAAAGAATAATAATTAAATTAAAATATATTTACTTTCCTTTGTCTACTTGTAATCATGGCCTTTGATAAACTATATTGACAGACTCAACTTCAGTTGCGACTAACTCAGGTACCTGTGTAGGTTGACCAAATGTCGCCTCAATAGAGAAGGTAGTATGAATTGTTTCTCCTACTATAGCTACAAGAGATTCCTGCTGAGTTGAGGGAGGTGTGCATTCTACAAACATAGGATTAGTAGACTCCATGGATCTTGGTCGAACAAAACTAGGAGAGTTGGTGCTAGGTGAACCTCTATCATCAACAAGTACACCTCGACCACCACAATGAGGTGGTGTACGACCACCACTTCTACCCCTTTGTGGCATCTACAAGTGGATCTTATTACATATGTAACATGTATAAAATTAAACAATTGAGACAATGAATTATCTGATTCTATTTTCTACACCCAAACGTGCAGTTAGCTTACCATTCATTCACTACAAATAATTCAATCATAATCATATCAATACATACATTCATATATATATATATATATATATATATGTATATATATATATATATATATGTATGTATATATATATGTATGTATATATATATATATACAACATTAAATAAAGGTGTACAATTAAATTTAACAATTGTAAAAATAATTTTAATGCACGAATTACCGAAGTATTTGTATCATCAGAATCACTCAGTCTCATCTTCACTTGAAATATATTCCTCCTCATCTTCATCTATATTTCATTTAGTAATTGTATGTCTATTTCTTCTCCCCACCATTAACATCAACAAGGGAATCATCAATGAAATTAGCATCAACATGAAGCACTACTTAAAGTCCTACAAGCTCATCATCTTGGTATGGAGTCTCATGCTCATCTTAACTTATTATATTATCAATGATTCTAGCACAGCAGTTAAATGTCATCAACAGAATCCACACAATTGAGATGCACAACAAATAATACAACCCCACCATTTAGAAGGCACAAAAGCTTGGACCAAAGCTAACAATCTCATCCGAACCAAATAGAGCCATTATGCCTAAACGGATTGCATCAAAGCCTCTTTTTTAGTTAATGCAAAAATTCTTAAACAATGTCTATTTGCCCCTTTTATTTTCTTTTTATGGTAGAATTTAAATGTATATTATATCCCACTTTATTTTTGTTATTGTGCAGACCCATTGTCGGAAAAAAAGAGCTCAAGATTTTATGTTCCTCGTGACGAGGCATTTGCTAAGATAAAGCGGACAGAGTACTGCAGAAAAGGCTTTTTACATCGGTTAAAATGGGCTTTCGACGTCGGTTAAAGCGGCGACATAGATACGGGGGTCATAGAAAGTAAGGCTTTCTACGTCGGTTCCTAATAACCAACGTAGAAAGTAAGACTTTCTACGTCGGTTAATAGGAACCGACGTAGAAAGCCTTACTTTCTTTGAGCTATTATGATCGGTCAAAGCTGGTTATGATCGGTCATAGAGCTATCTTGATCGATCATAAGCTGGTTACGATCGGTCACATAAATACTTTCTACGTCGGTTAGTCGAGGAACCGAGCGTAGAAAGTCTTATTTTGTATGAGCTATTCCGATCGGTCATACTTGGTTACGATCGGTCATATACTTTCTATGTCGGTTAACACTTATAACCGACATAGAAAGTCTTACTTTCTATGTCGGTTAAAATTATAACCGACATAGAAAGTACTTTCTACGTCGGGTAATGACATAACCGAGCGTAGAAAGTGTTATTTTTTTAAATACCTGCATTTTATTTACGAGATGCTACCTTTCTTCGAGTAGACCTGCCTATTCATCACAGTTCCGAGACAAATAACCACATATCCAGTACGAGACGAGATATGCACAGTTCATATATAAATTTGCTACGAGATATATATCCGAGTACGGACGGATTCGATTGCGAGACGAGATATGTACATATGAAACACATTGAAATGAATATATGTACAGACAGATCCAGTTCCAGACAGTTCATTTACTTAAACGAATGTAAATTTCCTAACTTAAATCAATTCTATCTAAATTGTTACAAGTTAAATTTCCTATGAAGATTGAATGCTTAAATTTCCTATCAAGTTGGAGCATTCTCCCAAAATCCTTCCATATGGTCATAACGGATGGCATGCACATCATCTATTTCTACATTAACACTCAAGTTTGGCATATTTGAAGAGAAACATGGTGTCTCGGGTATATCAAGTACTAATTCATCATTCTCATCGAAGTATACATGGGTTTTCCTTGTAGAACCACTCGACCATCCTTTGTTAGCGGGATCAGTGACATAAAACACTTGTTTTGCACGAGATGCCATGATAAATGGTTCTTCGGTATAACGAGTATTTTCAAGGTTAACCAAGGTAAATCCAAGATCATCGGTGAAGATGCCGAGTATTAAAATCAACCCACTTGCATTTAAAAATAGGTACTCTGAATATCGTGTAATCTATTACCCAAATCTCTTCAATTACACTAAAGTAGCCCATTGACGCCCTTATCGGATATTTATCCTTTGAACTCGAGAAATGCATTGATTCAGCCACCACCATGACTCCACTATTTTGCATTGTGCTTATTTCATCTTCTCCCTTTGTATAAAATGAATAGTTATTTATATCATACCCACCCCAACATATCACATCAAAGTTTGGCTCACATGCTAGCCACTTTAGTGTATCGAAGTCTGTATTGTCACCTTCAACTTGTTGTTTAAACCACTTCAAAAAGCTCTTGTTGTGTTCGGTGATCACCCACTTTTTAGGCATACGTGGATTATTTCGCTTCACAATCTCTTTATGAGCACTTAAGTAGGGGATGACTTCTTCACTGTTATTCAATATGTACAAATGCGCTTGAAGTACTTCATCTCGACACATTGTCACAACTTTTGCACCTCGAGTTCCTCTACCAAGACCTATTCCATGGTAACGAGTCTTAGGTAACCCTATAGCTTCAACTTCGATAAGTAGTTTGTGCAAAACTCAATAGCTTCCTCTGCAATATATCTTTGAACAATTGATGCTTCAGGACGATATTGGTTCTTCACATACCCTTTTAATATTTTCATGTATCGCTCAAAAGGGTACATCCATCGTAAGAAAAGCTGGACCACAGATTCTAACTTCCCTAGCTAGATGAACAATCAAGTGAACCATAATATCAAAAAATGATGGAGGAAAGTACATCTCAAATTGACATAATATTACTGCAGCCTCATTCTCTAACTGATCCAAAACATCCGGGTCCATAACTTTACTACATATGGCATTAAAAAAAAGCATAATCGAGTTAAGGAATATCTAACATTGTCTCGGTAAGATACCTCGAATAGCCACAAGTAGAAGTTGTTGCATCAATACATGACAATCATGAGATTTTAACCCAAGCAATTTGAGATCTTTCATAGATACAAGTCTCTTCACATTGGAAGAGTAACCAAATGGAACCTTCACACCTCGTAAAAACTCACAAAAACTTTTTTCTCTTTTTTAGACAGTGTGTGACATGCTTGGAGGCAAGTATGTTCGGTTACCATGAGGTTGAGGAGCTAATTGTTCTCTTATACCCATTTCAACCATGTCCAAACGAGCATTGACACCATCTTTTGTTTTTCCTTGAATGTTAAGGAGTGTTCCGATGATACTCGTCACACACATTTTTCTCTACATGCATGACATCTATACAATGCCTCACATCAAGAACCCTCCAATATGGAAGAACAAAAAGGATTGACATTTTCTTCCATATACCTGTGGCTTTCTTTTGCGTCTTTCCAAACTCACACGAAATTGCACTTACTCGTTGATATACTTCTTCCCCACTTAAAGGTGTTGGGGCTGCATCATTTTCTTGACACCCGTTAAATGATTTTTTTAATTTACGATATGAATGGTTTGAAGGAAGAAATCTTCGGTGTCCAAGGTACACTTGTTTTCCTTCCATGTTGTAGTTGATAGTGACATGTGTCTTCTTCACATATCGGGCAAGCTTTATGTCCCTTTGTGCTTGTAGCCACTCAAATTACCATATGCTTGGAAAGTCATTAATTGTACAAAATAACATTGCACGCAACTTGAATAAGTCACCTGTGTACCCATCAAACACATCAACACCTTCCTCCCACAACATCTTCAACTCTTCAACCAATGGGCTTAAAAAAACATCAATGTCATTTCCAGGTTGTCTGGGACCCGAGATCATCAAAGATAGCATCAAGTACTTACGTTTCATACACAACCACGGAGGTAAGTTGTAAATAACTAACACCACAGGCCATGAACTATGTTTACTTGCTTAAATTTCCATATGGATTCATTCCATCTGTAGCAAGTCCAAACCTAATGTTTCTTGGATCATTACCAAAATTCTGGAAGATGGAATCAATTTTTTCCATTGCAATCCATCCGTCGGATGCCTCAACTCGACCATCTTTAATACGACTATATGCATGCCATCTAGTGAGCTTTGCATCATTTCCATTAGTGAACAATCGTTTCAACCTTGGAACAATGGGAAGATACCATAACACTTTTGCCGGGTACCCTTCATAACATCATTGTCGGAATCACCATCCTTCTTCTTGTATCGTGATTCCCCGCATTGTGGACATTCGTGACAGTTCTCAAATTCTTTCCTGTACAACACACAATCATTCGGACATGCATGAATTTTTTGGTACTCCATACCCATTGGACACAATATCTTCTTAGCATCATAATTGCGGGTTGGCAATGTGTTACCTTCAGGGAGCATGTCACTCAACAACTCAAGCAATTTCGTGAAACTTTTATCAGTCCACCCATTCTTTGCCTTCACATTGAACAATTTTAGTACCGCTGAAAATCGTGTGAACTTAGTACAATTTGTATACAAAGGCTCTTTTGCATCATTGGACAACTTCTCGTACACATGTGTGTGTTGGAAGGCATCTTGTCCAAGCTCACGAATCATTTCCTCCAGCTGATCATCCATCTCTAGATCAACTTCTTCTTTGTCTTCTACACTTGGCATGTTTAATAATTCACCATGCCATGTCCACTTTATGTAACTCTTTAGGAAACCATCACAAAGAACATGTTCCCGAATAACTTCAGTCGGTAATCTTCGCTCATTCAAGCGGTTAACACAAGGGCAATAGAATCTTCCATCATTATCCGGAACATTCATCTTAGCAAATTCAAGGAATTGTTCTACTCCACTCTCATATTCATTTGTTGTTCGTCCGTAATTGATCCAACTCCGATCCATTGTTACAAATCTAATTTTCAAAATCAAATTAGCTACGAAACACGAAATAACTACATTATAATGCCTACACGAAATCCAACTCCACTCTTAAAATAACTACATTATAATACAAATCTAATGTTCAAAATCAAAATCACGAAAGAATGCCGACAGAAACACATTCAAATGACTAAACTACTTACAATACATCTCTAAATTAGCTAAAGGCACCCGTGATGTTTCCCTCTCTTGACAACATTATTACTTACTAGATTCAATACTGTAAACCTACATTGGCTAAAGCAAGCACGAAAACTTACCTCTTGAAGACCTACGAGAGGTGGCAGGTGGCGTGACGTGCGGAGCTGGGTGGGGAGAAACGTATCCAAGGCGACGGGCACCGGTAGCAGCGAGGCGGCACGAAGCGTTGGCGGGTGGCGTGACGAGCAAATGTGGGTGCGGAGAAACGTATACAAGCGAACGGGGAGCTCGGTATGGGTGAACTGATGAAAGGAAATGGAGCGTAGGGAGAAACGTACGGGGAGCTCGCTATGGGGGGAAGTGATGAAATGAAATGGAGTGGGGGAAGTGATGAAATGAAATGGAGCGCGGGCAAAACAGAAGATACTATGTCGGTTGCCCTAACACCCGTCATCAAAGACACTTTCTACGTCGGTTAAAATTTACCCGACATAGAAAGTTCATTTTCTACGTCGGGTAAATGTTACCCGACATAGAAAGTTAACTTTCTATGTCGGGTAAATTTTAACCGACGTAGAAAGTGACCTTTCCACTTACTATGTCGGTTAAAACTTACCCGACATAGAAAGTTTATGATTTTATTACAAAATTGCCACCGCGCCACATACTATGACGGGTGGATTACGACCGTGATAAAAACCCGTCATAGAAAGCTATTTTTCCACTAGTGACGTTCACAACTTCTACAGTTTCCTTAGGCTTGAATGCGATTTTTGAATCCTTGGACACAATTCTCACAGACCCAGCTCTCGGATTTTTCAGCTTTGAAGACATAGACGCACTCTACAAAGAGGGATTTCATTTACCACCTCTAAAGGCCAATGGATTAACATTGCTTCAACGAGTCATTCCCAAGTTGATCAAGGTTGTTAATGATAGTCAGAATATATTACGGTTTGACCCTCCAGAAGCCTTTAAAAGTAAGTCCACTTATATAAAAAGTTTTTATACATGTTATTTAATTTAAAAAATATACTCCTGATAAGATATTTTAATAATATTTTATTTGAGATTTTTATTAGAATATCATCATATGAACCAATTATAGATAATGTTTTATCCTCTCGATTATATTATATTAGATTATAAATAATATTACAAATAATTTTATTGTTATGATATAGTTTAATTGATTAGTGGATAAACATTCAAGATTTTACTATATAAATCTTAACCATAAATCATCACAATCAACTTTAACACTTGAGGAATAGACTATTTTTTAATTTTTAATTTTTCATGAAACTAAATTATCACCACCAACAAATATAAATTAATTTAATGTGGATAGTTTATTTTTTAATGATCAACCCAATCACTATAAATATATATATATATATATATATATATAATATATATATATATATATATATATATATAGTGATAATTTATATTTTTAGTGAATAATATTTTTTTTAGTTATTGACTTTATATATATATATATATATATATATATATATATATATATATATATATATTCTAAAATGTGCATAAAGTATTAATAAGATGTAATTTCTTTTTTCCAATGAGTTGAGTTTGCTTTTCATTTATAGAAAAATTATATTTTTGTATAAATAGTTTAATTTAGATGACCTTTTAAGTTAAAATGTTATTGATTTATAATTATAATATCAATAATTCATATATCATTAAAAATATTAACAATCTTACCAAAACTATTTATACTTGTTTCTAGTGCATATATCCTTTTATTTTGTTGGATTATGATGACTTCTTTTCTCAATTTTGATATTTGGGCCTTTTTTCTAGTACATTCAATATTCTATATCTGTTATCGAGTATATTCTACATTGGTCAAGCATCCGATGTATATTCAAATGTTGTAGAAAGTTATTTTTATTTACATTGGTTATTTTTATAACTAATGTAATATCCAATGTTTTTAAAATTGGATCGATCACTCCATTGAAAATATGTGTTCAAAGTTTAAATGTTGAATCGGATCCAACGAATTTAATAAAATTATATTTTTATAGTATAATAAATATATAATAAGTCTTTTAGTAATAATATTTTTTATAAAAAAATTAATAAAGATTATAATTAAAATTATAAATATAAAATATATTAGAAAATGTAAAATAAAGAATTATTAAAATAAGATAAAATATAATAAAATTGATTATTATTTAAAGTTGATATAACTAAGATAAAAAATATTATATTTAAAAATTGGATTTAAATATTTTTTTATTATCAAAATCGGTTTAACTCAAAAATTCAACCCATTTTATGAATTTTTTTCCAATTTTTCTAATTTAGTCTTAGTTCAGTTAAAATTCGGTTATTTAAAAGTATCAAACAGATTTCTAATCTAATTTTCATTTAAACCAGTTGAATCGATCCTATTTTCAAAACAGCATGTCTTCTCAAACCCACCGTACCCTTCATTGCAACATCCAACAAGTCTACGATAATAAAGCGCTACTCCCAAGTAAAAATCTATCTTTCAATTTCTTCTTCTCGTCAAAATCACACCTGCAATACCTTTCTCCAAACCCACCATACCTTTCATAGTAGCATGTAGCAACCCACAACAAAAAGTCCTACCCTTCTACTTCCCTTCCTTATCAAATCAAACTCTCATACACTCATAACCAAGCACCTCCACCCTATTAGATCTACATAATCAGTAACTTAGTAACTTTGATGACCTATAATAGACGTAGGTGAAATGAGAACAAAAGTTTAGAGAGATCATACGAAAGGGTGAAGTAGGGTGGGTGTGAGGTTGGCGGATAGATCAAACTATTTATAGTGGCACACATAGTGGACAAGAGCACATCCATACAAAGGAGGATGACGAAATGACAAATGGTCGTGCAACAAGGCGACGATGGTGGTGGCAAATGGTGACAACGGTTGCGATGCCGGTAGCAAATGGTGGCAAGGGGTAGAGTGGATTCTATTCATGTTTTTTTTTTTTTTTTTTCCTTTTCTCTTCTTGATGCAGTAATAGTGAATGAATAAAAAGATTGAAAATTTTAAAGGTATATTACATCGACTACACGTGTAGCTGATGTAATATATCTACAGTAAACAACGTAATATTTTTTTAATATTTAAAAAATCGTCGTCACACCTTATCTTATATCCAGTATTAGATAATATTTTGTATTTGTAATAAAATTCTCTTCCCACCGTCTCTTATTAACATAGCAGTGCTTCGATAAATTTACTCGTAAAAAAAATGAAATAATATTGGTTGCTTATATATGTTCCAAATGTAACTGCAACCTACATATAAACTATTAGAAGTGCCTGAAGATCATATAAGACTTAAAAAAACATAATATTTTAAATTTGTTGGATTAATTACATGTAGTTGAAAAAAAAAACAAAGAAACTAATAGTTCATGTGCTTAGAAATTTTCTGGTAAATTTATATATATATATATATATATATATATATATATATATATATATATATATATATATATATATATATATATATATATATATATATATATATATATATATGAACTAAATCAACTATAGATATCAAATTGTGGATCGATACCGATCACTCTAACACAGTTGTAATATATATTCACTCATTTTATCTCTTTAATGAGTTCAATAAACATATATTTCTTTTATTTAGTTTTTTTTTCATCACAATTTTTATTATATTGTTTTTATATCTATTATTTTCCATTATATTATTTTTTACATCTATAATTACTCAATTATTATTTTTATACACCTATTAAAAATATAGTTTGGTTGATTATTACTAGAAAAAATAAATTAGATATCTAAATTTGTGATGGTTGAGATTTACTTTTTTATTTATTTAATTTTCTTTGTAAAAATTTCATTGTATATATTATTTGATTAAGATTTGTTATAATTGTACACTATAGTTTCATAGTAACCTAATTAACTACACATATTTTGACAATATTGTGACAATAATAATTAATAGTGGTGAATTTAACCACTCATTATAGGAATAATAATCATTAATAATAGTGGACTAAACCACCTAGTGGTGAATTTAACCACTTGTTGTTGGATCACACACAAAAATTTATGATTTGGAATAAATTAAGAATGAAGAACAAAATAGAGAAAATCTAAATAAAGAAAAGCACCACAAACGAAATTTGAAAGATGATCGTCACAAGAATTAATAAATTTTTTATAAGATTGAAGATACAAGAAAAAACTTTAGCAAAAGTATATTCTCATTTCGACAAGAACCATCCGTTGACCATTTTCTTAATTCAATGATCATATATACAAATTTAGGATTTTCTTGAGGATTGACTTTGTTTGTAATTAAATAAAAGGAAAAGAAACCCAAAAGAATTATAAATAAAGTTAATTTGTCTTGAATGGTGGACAAATTAAAAACTAAACTAATGATCATGGGTTCAAATTCTTATTTCATTAAAAGGAATAAAATATTTTTATTTTTAACTCTCTAAATCTATTACATAATTAACTAGCTTCACTTCCTCAATAACTATATGTCTTTGACTCGTTGGACATTTTTAACCTTTCTTCCACTACAAGAAAAACATCAAATAGTGACCGAAATAGTGACCAACTGGAATCAGTCACTATTTTCTTGGTCACTCGATTTTAGTAACTCGATTCAGTGATCGAATCAATAAAAAAGTTAATTATTTACATTTTTATTATATCTATTATTTATTTTCCCTATCTCTTAATGATATTATATTTTTGCTTATTTAAGTTTTTATTTATATTTATTTCCCCTATCTCTTAATTATATTATATTTTTTAGAAGTTTAACTTATTATTAGGTGGTTTATTGTCATTGTCAGGATTCGAACCCGGTACCTTAGAGTTGGAGAGTTGAAACTCCAACCACCGAGCTACTAGGATCTTTTAATAATAACTTACAAATAAATTATATTTATATACAAATAAATGTATATCCGTACAAATATATAAATATAAAATTTATAAATAAAAATATATTTATATATTTTAATATATATTTAAATATTGATATATTTATATATTTATATATTTATATCTTTATATATTTTTACATATATTTATATTTTTATATATTTATATCTTCATATTTATATATAAATATATTAGTTTTCTATACAAATAATATTATAATATAGTATATTATACTATTAGTATAGTATACAAATTATTAATTTTGTAATTTATATACAATGAAAATAATATAATGGTATATTAGTATAGTATAGTATATTTGTATTCTAATTTTTAATTAAATTAAAATTATGCTAATAATGTATATTAATATATGAGGGGATAATATTGATATATTGATATATTTGTATATATATATATATATATATATATATATATATATATATATTTATATATATTTATATATTTATATATTTATATATTTATATTTTTATATTTTTATATTTTTATATATTTATATTTTGATATATTTATATATTGATATATTTATATATTTATTTATATCCTTATACATTTATATCTTTATATATTTATATATTTGAAAAAAAATATTAAATTTTAAAAATAATATTATATTTTTAAAAATAAATATTAGAAAAAGATTTAAAAATATATATAAATTATATTTACATTTACAAAATATTAAAGATATATGTTTATATCTTTACATATTTTTATATATATTTATATGTTTATATTTTTACATATCTTTACATATCTTTACTAACAGCGGTTGCACCATCGCTCGAGCGAGATTAGAGTCGCTCAAGCGAAATAAAACCCGAGAATGCCACTTTTGTGCAGGGGGCGTTTCGCTCGAGCTAGAATTTTTCGCTCAAGCGAAATACATTTTAGATAGCGGTTAGAAGGGGAACCGCTCTTAAAAGTTCACTTAGATAGCGGTTAAACTGAAACCGCTATTATATGGTTTCAATTATGATCGGTCAGAATGCGGTTATGACCGATCATAATTAAAACTTACATTAACTATTTTTTTATATTATGTTTTTAAATTTTCTATTAGAGAAAACCTTTCAGAATTTAAAATGTTAAATACTTTTAAATATTAAAATTAACTTTATAAAAAATTAGGAAAAAGAAATTAATCCAAAAGAGTTCAAAAATGTATTATAATATTGTCAATTTTGAGTTTAATTATATTGTTCATTCTCAAAGGAGAAAAATATATTGTAATTATTTTAATTTAATAAAATATAATTTAAAATTTTAATACTAAAATTAAAAGATTAAATAATAATAAATTTAATTCTTTAAATTCAGTAGCTAGAAACTAAAATTATAGTTTCTCTGTTTGAAATAATTAAAATAAATATTTAAAAATAAAAATCAAAACTAGTATTATCTTAAATTTATTAAAAGTGTAATTAAATCTCTATTTTCTTAATTTTATTTGTTTCAAACTTCTCAATTCTACATTTTTGTAAGTTCTATCATTATATTATCATCCTCATCTCCTCCTATGTTCTACTTTATCTTTACAATAGTCAATATTCTTAACTAATTTATAGTTTTAATTATAATTTTTTAGTATATATTTTGAAATTAATCAATTCTAATCTATTATTTGAAAAACTAATCAATTCTAATCAATAATTTAGAAAACTAATTGATTATAATTAATTATTTGAAAAAATTATCAAATATGATCGGTCATTTTGAAAATATAATCGATCAGAATCTGATTTCGCTTGAGCGAGAGTAGTCTCGCTCAAGCGAAATACACCTCAAGTATCTAATATGCACTTTAGATAGCGGTTATGAGGGAACCACTATTATATCCTCTCAATTATGATCGGTCATTTCAAGTTATGATCGATCAGGATCGTATTTCGCTCGAGCGAGAGTATGTCGCTCAAGCGAAATACAACCCGAGAATGCGAATTCAGTGCAGTTGGAGTTTCGCTTCGAGCGAGAATATTATCGCTCAAGCGAAATACATTTTAGATAGCGGTTCCACTGGAACCGCTCTTAAAAGTGCACTTCTAATAGCAAGTTAACCATTAACCGCTATCTTAATTATACTTTAGATAGCGGTTAAGGTGGAACCGCTATCATATCATCTCAATTATGTTTTGCAAAATGCCTCTACAAATGTTTTTAACAATTAAAAACAAAGTATTTTGACAAAAGCTTTCTCAAATGCTTCTACAAAGTATTTTTAACAATTATATTGAGTTTAATTCTACAAATTAAAAGATTAAATAATAATAAATTTAATTCTTTAAATTCAGTAGCTAGAAACTAAAATTATAGTTTCTCTGTTTTAAATATTTAAAATAAATATTTAAAAATAAAAATCAAAACTAGTATTATCTTAAATTTATTAAAAGTGTAATTAAATATCTATTTTCTTATTTTTATTTGTTTCAAACTTCTCAATTCTACATTTTTGTAAGTTCTATCATTATATTATCATCCTCATCTCCTCCCATGTTCTACTTTATCTTTACAATAGTTAATATTCTTAACTAATTTATAGTTTTAATTATAATTTTTTAGTATATATTTCAGAAATTAATCAATTCTAATCTATTATTTGAAAAACTAATCAATTCTAATCAATAATTTAGAAAACTAATCGATTATAATTAATTATTTGAAAAAATTATCAAATATGATCGGTCATTTTGAAAATATAATCGATCAGAATCTGATTTCGCTTGAGCGAGAGTAGTCTCGCTCAAGCGAAATACACCTCAGGTATCTAATATGCACTTTAGATAGCGGTTATGAGGGAACCACTATTATATCCTCTCAATTATGATCGGTCATTTCAAGTTATGATCGATCAGGATCGTATTTCGCTCGAGCGAGAGTATGTCGCTCAAGCGAAATACAACCCGAGAATGCGAATTGCAGTGCAGTTGGAGTTTCGCTCGAGCGAGAATATTATCGCTCAAGCGAAATACATTTTAGATAGCGGTTCCACTGGAACCGCTCTTAAAAGTGCACTTCTAATAGCGAGTTAACCATTAACCGCTATCTTAATTATACTTTAGATAGCGGTTAAGGTGGAACCGCTATCATATCATCTCAATTATGTTTTGCAAAATGCCTCTACAAATGTTTTTAACAATTAAAAACAAAGTATTTTGACAAAAGCTTTCTCAAATGCTTCTACAAAGTATTTTTAACAATTATATTGAGTTTAATTCTACAAATTAAAAGATTAAATAATAATAAATTTAATTCTTTAAATTCAAGTAGCTAGAAACTAAAATTATAGTTTCTCTGTTTTAAATATTTAAAATAAATATTTAAAAATAAAAATCAAAACTAGTATTATCTTAAATTTATTAAAAGTGTAATTAAATATCTATTTTCTTATTTTTATTTGTTTCAAACTTCTCAATTCTACATTTTTGTAAGTTCTATCATTATATTATCATCCTCATCTCCTCCCATGTTTCTACTTTATCTTTACAATAGTCAATATTCTTAACTAATTTATAGTTTTAATTATATTTTTTTAGTATATATTTCAGAAATTAATCAATTCTAATCTATTATTTGAAAAACTAATCAATAATTTAGAAAACTAATCGATTATAATTAATTATTTGAACAAATTATCAAATATGATCGATCATTTCGAAAATATAATCGATCAGAATCAACTATCGCTCGAGCGAGATAGACTCGCTCAAGCGAAATACAACCCGAGAGTACTAATTTTGTGTAGGGGGCGTTTCGCTCGAGCGAGAATGTTGTCGCTCAAGCGAGATGACGTTTAGATAGCGGTTACACAGGAACCGCTCTTAAAATATGACTTAGATAGCGGTTAACCTATGAACCGCTATTATATGATTTTAATTATGATCGGTCAGAATGCATTTATGACCGATCATAACTATTTTAATCGATTAAATCTCGTTTCAATCGATTAAAACAGATTCTACACAACGTTTTAATTGATTAAAACTTATTTTTATCAGTTAAAATAACTTGAAAAGTTTTAGGAGAAAGTTTTGCAGTATTTCAATCGATTGAATCGCTGAAACAATCGATTAAATCAACTTAGAAGATTTTTTGTAAAGTGTTTTAATTGATATAAACGTTGTCAGTATCAGTTAAAACAAATCTGTTAAAGAATCAAGAACGTATTAGTGGATTAAAAGAAGTTTTAACAGATTAAAACTGCACTTTTAACAGATTAAAAGAATCTTTTAACAGATTAATTAAACCAAGCAGTTTTGAAAATCTTCTATAAAAATAGTTTGGCTTGAACTTTTTTAACATACATTGAATGTATCATCTTTAAAAAATAAATAAATTTATATATATATATATATTTTTTTTTGCATTTTAATTTTCAAATATTAATTTTTTATGAAATTAATTTTAATTAAAAAAATTAAAGTGATATATATATATATATATATATATATATATATATATCCAACTATTAAATTATTCAAGATATTAATATAAATTTAAAATATCAATTCAGTAATTAAAATAATTTTAATTTTTTATAAATACATTGAAATACATTTTTATTAACATACAAGTAATATATATATATATATATATATATATATATATATATATAAAGAGACTAAATTAATAATTAATTTAATTATTGATTTAGTGACCGATTCGATGACCGAATCAGTGACCGATTCGATGACTAATTTAATAATCAATTTTAATTTTTTTATTCACATGCTAAATAAAAAAATAAAATCAAATAATTATATTACTAAATTATTTAATAAGTTAGTAAACAATTTTTTTAAAATATTTATAATGTTATTAAAAATGTTATCAATTATTTTAAATTATTAAGTAAATTTATATTTAAAATATTTTAAATAAAATATTTATATAAATGAAAACTAGTTATCGATGTAAAAATTATTTTTTTAGTGACTGAAATTTTAGTCACTAAATCAGTTACTAAATATAAAAAAATTAATAATTACATAAATTAAATATAGATTAATTAAAAAAATAAATTAAATAATAAAGTGACTGAAATAGTAACTCGATTTTATGTGACCGAAAATTCGGTTACTATTTCGGTTACTAGACTAAAAAATAATAATTTGGTTACTGATTCGGTCACTGATAGTAACTAAATTTTTCGGTCACTGATTTCGGTTACTATTTGACATTTTTCTAGTAGTGTTCTAGTCATTAATCTAATTAAGTCTTTAATTAGATCTTCATCTTTTTTCTTATGACCTCAATGTGAGAGTACGTGTTAAAAAATTTTACATCGATTATATGATAACATTATAGTATATAAATCAGTACAATACTCAACTGAGCCGTTTTGTAGGACTGTGTTAGGTATTTTACTGTTACAAAAGTGATAACTCTATTTTCATATTATTCATTATATTTTCGCGGATTTCTATTTATTTTGTAATGGGTTTATTCCTACAAAAATTGATTTATCTAGAAGTGATTGAAATAAACTTAACCTAGCTACCATGAATGGATGTTTATTCCAAGTTTCTTATCGGAAGAGAATTTTGAAATTGCAGGAGACAGATTCTTTTGGTTTTCAGATGTGGAATTTGCTAGGGAGACTTTGGCAGGTGTCAATCCATATAGCATCCAATTGGTTAAGGCAAGAATAAACAAATGTTTTGGTTACTTCTTAACTATGTAATAGGCACAACAAATTTGAAGGTTTTATTTTTGTTCTATTCACATTTTTAGGAATGGCCTTTAACAAGTAAGCTAGACAGCCAAATCTACGGCCCACAAGAATCAGCAATAACTAGAGAACTCATTGAGTTACAAATAATCACTTGTGGAACAATTGAAGAGGTAAGCATTGATGGAAATATTAAATTTAGAATATGGATTAGTGTACTCTAAAATTGTATAATTTCAATGCATGCAGGCCATAAAAGAAAAGAAGTTGTTCATGTTAGACTACCATGATTTATTTTTACCATATGTAAGCAAAGTGAGGAAGATTAAGGGCACCACACTGTATGGATCACGAACAATATTCTACCTCACTGGTCAAGGGATGTTAAAGCCACTAGCTATTGAGCTGACTACACCACCTATGGATGGGAATCCACAGTGGAAGCAAGTCTTCACTCCTGCTTCCACTGATTCAACCAATCTCTGGCTTTGGAGGCATGCCAAAGCTCATGTTTTGGCCCATGATACTGGTTATCACGAACTTATAAGTCATTGGTGAGTACTGTCATATCATTATCTTATGCATGTCTTAGTAAAATCTTTAAACTGTCTCACTACAAGAAAATCGCGTATTACCGATGGATATTTATCGACGGATTTGTAACCGTCGGAAAATAATCATTACCGACGGAAATTACCGACGGATATAAAATATTTTTGAAATTTGATGTTACCGACGGAAATATCCGTCGGTAAAATAATAATTAGTTATCGACGGATATATCCGTCGATAAATCCGTCGGTAATTTATAGATGAATTTACCGACGGATATATCCATCGGTAAATTAACAATTAATTACCGACGGATATATCCGTCGGTAAAATTAGATAATATAATTTAATTATTCACCTAATTAAAAAATAAAATACTTTGATTTAATAATTTAATTTAATCATAATTAGATTAATTTATAATAATGTATTAAATTAAATAATTTTAAAAAATAAATATTTAATTATATATAAATATATAAATATATAAAAATATATAAATTTATAAATATAGAAAAATATATAAATATATAAAAATATATAAATATGTAAATATATAAATATATAAATATATTTGTATATTTGTATATAAATATAATTTATTTGTAAATTGTTATCAAGAAATTCTAATATTCGAATCCCGCCAATGACATTTCTCTTAAACTGATAATAATTCAAAGCTATGAAAATATAATATGAAGAAATAATAAATAATAAGAATATAAAGGGGATATAAAGGGGATGTGGTTCTATAAAAAAAATATGCTATAAATAAATAAAATATTTAATAAATAATAAAATTATTACTGACGGATTCCAGTCCGTCGGTAATTTTGTAACACATTTACCGACGGACTATTAGATCCGTCGGCAATAGTTACCGATCAACCGAATTTTCGACGGATTTTGACCGTCGATAATTTTAATATTTTTTGTAGTGTCTATTACTTAAAAATTATAAGTAATTATTATAAAAAGTCAATTAAACTTACTCTACTAAGTAGTCTAAATAGAATGACAATTTACACTATCATTGTATGATTATTTTCTCTTTCTCTTTTATGAAGTTGGTAACTTGGTATAACAAATTTCGGTGAAGCTTAAAAAGGGCTAACTGAGTACTTTTAAATTCTTTTTGTAGGTTGAGGACTCATTGTGTCGTGGAACCTTTCGTAATTGCAACACATAGGCAACTTAGTTCTATGCATCCAATATATAGATTATTACATCCACATTTGAGATATACCATGCAGATTAATTCCCTTGCACGTAAGGAGCTTATTAGTGCAAATAGGGTCATTGAAATTTCATTCTTTACTAATAAATATTCAATGGAATTAAGCTCTGTGGCATATGATCAACTTTGGCGGTTTGATTTACAAGCACTTCCAAATGACCTTATTGAAAGGTATAAAGCTGGTTTTTAAGATTATTTTTATTGTTTTCTGAAACCATATATATTAAACATTCATTTAATTTCTTCTTTTAATTTAATGCTTGTCATTTTAGAGGAATGGCTGTGATAGATCCTAATGCACCACATGGCCTAAAGCTAACGATTGAAGATATATCCTTTTGCCAATGATGGTTTGCTCATATGGGATGCCATCAAAGAATGGGTTACAGAATATGTCACCTATTATTATCAGGACCAAATGACCATAGAATCTGACCAAGAGCTCCATGCATGGTGGACAGAAATTAGAACAGTGGGTCATGGAGACAAATCTGAAACACCAGGATGGCCTAATCTTAACACATCAAAAGATCTTATTGAAATCATCACCACAATATATATCTTGGATAGCATCTGGCCATCATGCAGCTGTGAACTTTTCCCAATATGCCTATGGAGGCTATTTCCCTAATAGACCCCCAATTGCAAGAAACAAAATGCCAACAGAAGACCCTTCTGAAGAGGAATGGGAAAAGTTTATGAACAAACCTGAGCAAACACTTTTGGAGTGTTTCCCATCACAAATTCAAGCAACATTAGTAATGGTAATCTTGAACTTGTTGTCAGATCATTCAACTGATGAAGAGTACATTGGACAATATATTGAGCCATCATGGGATGAGAATCCAACAATAAAGGCAGCTTTTGAAAGGTTTAGTGGGAAACTAAAGGAGATTGAAGGAATTATAGACTCAAGGAATGCAAATAGTAGTTTGAGGAACAGACGTGGAGCTGGAGTAATGCCTTATGAGTTATTGAAGCCATTTTCTGGGCCAGGAGTTACTGCAAAAGGAGTTCCATATAGCATATCCATTTAAAGTTTGTTAATTTGCAAGGTCCTCAATAAAAAAAATAATGCCACAAATGTATTATTTATATTTTACATTTTAGTATACGAATTATTTTATGATAGGAAAATTCCATATCTAGTTGTTTGGTAAAGAATTAAATATGCATATAGTTTCTTTCCAAAATAAGTTTCTTATCTCATAATTTAGTAGGAATGGTATTCTATTGATTCTTTTCTCCCATGATGAATTAAATTGACTTGGATATATACGAATAATCAAACCCTTTTTTCTACTGATTCTTTTCTCCCATGATGAATTAAACTTATTAAAATGGTAAAGAGATAAGAACCGCACGAAGAAGAAGGAAGAAAAACAGTCTAATATTTTCACGTGTAGGATATAAAGTAGAGTACAGTTTTTTTTTTTAGGTTGAGCGATGAAATAAATAGAATATACAAAATCCTAAATATATATATATATATATATATATATATATATATATATATATACTAATAGAAAAATGGTTAATAGTGATCGAAATTAAGTAACCGAAAAATTCAATCACCGATAGTAATCGAATCAGTGATTGATTTCCGTTTTATATTTAGTGACTGATTTAGTGACTAAAATTTCAGATCACTGAAATGGTCACTGATTCGGTCACAAAATCGATCACTGATTCGGTCACTACTAGAAAAATGGTTAATAGTGATCGAAATTAGTGACCGAAAAATTCAATTAGTAATAGTAACTCGAATCGGTGATTGATTTCTCTTTTTATATATAGTGACCGATTTAGTGACTAAAATTTCAAGTCACTAAACAAATAATATATAAATTAGTGACCATTTTTTATTTATATAAATAATTTTTAAAAATATTTTAATAATATATTAAATATAAATCTACTTAATAATTTAAAATAATTGATAAAAATTTTAATAACATTATAAAAAATTTAAAAAATAGTTTATTAACTTATTAAATAATTTAGTAATATAATTATTTTATTTTTATTTTTTAATTTAGTATGTAAATAAAAAATTAAAATTAATTATTAAATTAGTCACCGATTCAATCATTCAAATAATTATTAATTTAATCTCTTTTATATATATAATCAATGATTAAATTAATTATTAATTTAGTCTCTTTTTGATATATATATATATATATATATATATATATATATATATTACTTTTATGTTAATAAAAATGTATTTCAATGTATTTATAAAAAATTAAAATTATTTTAATTATTGAATTGATATTTTAAATTTATATTAATATTTTAAATATTTTAGTAATTGGATAAATATTTTAAGTTTATATTAGTATTTTTATAAAAGTGTAAAGATTAAGTGAACTTATTTTAAAATTTAATTAAACATAATAATATAATATACTATTAACTATAAATACGTGAAGATTTAGTTAGAAATTAATTTTAAGTTTTATCGTTTTTATTTAAAAAAATTGTTAAAAAAATCAAAATAATTAATTAAAATAAAAAATTTTAATTTAATAAATGTATTAATATTATTAGTTATTGGAGAATTAAATTTATAATAATAATTATATAAAATTATAAAATTAATAAAATTTAAATTATTGGTATTTTTTTAATCATGAAGCTAAAATTTGATAATATTAATAAATTAAAATAAAAAAAATAAAAAAAGTATATATATATATATATATATATATATATATATCACTTTAATTATTTTAATTAAAAATAATTTCATAAAAAAACTAATATTTGAAAATAAAAATGCAAAAGTATATAGTTTTTCTTTTATTTAATTATATTTTTTATTTTTTACTTTTTGGGTTTTAGTCCATAACAACAATTTAATTGCTCTAATTTCCACAAAAATATATAATTTCTCTTATTAACAATTTTTTTTAATCAGATTAAGAAAATTATTACTAATAAGATTCAAAACCAGTACCTTGGAGTTAGATATTAATACTCCAACCACTAAATCTGTTAGAGTTTTTTAATAAAAATTTACAAATAAATTATATTTATATACAAATAAATATATATATCCGTATAAATATATAAATATAAAATATATAAATACAAATATATTTATATCTTTTGGTATATTTATATATTTATATGTTCGATGTGAGGATCACGCTAGAGGGTGAAAGTGTGTGTCGAGTGAGTTTTCAAAATTTGATGTCAAATTTGTGAGCGAGTCTCTTTATATGGATTTGTAATTTAATGATAGAATATAATCTTTATAATTTATTTATATAATGATATAAAATAATTGTTTTCTTTATTTATTTTTATTTTATTTTAATTTATTCTTTTTATCTTTTTTTCTTCTATTATTTAATAAAAATTCTTATATTAAAATAATTTTTCATTATTAAAAATAATTAAATATTTATTTTTAAAATTAGTTTTTAAAATTAAATTTAACAAATTATTATGAATTAATCTATGTCTGGAAAAAATAATTATTAAAAGATGATTTTGATTAATTTATAATAATATATGTTAGGAAAAAATTGTTCTATTAATAATCATAATTAGATTAATTTCTAATAATTTGTTAAATTAAATAATTTTAAAAATAAATATTTAATTATTTTTAATATTGAAAAAATTATTTTAATATAAGAATTTTAATTAAATAATAGAAGAAAAAAATATAAGAAGAATAAATTAAAATAAAATAAAAATAAATTAAGAAAAAAATTATTTTATATCATTATATAAATAAATTATAAAGATTATATTGTGTCATTAAATTATAAACTCATATAAAGAGACCGCTCACAAATTTGACATCAAATTTTAAAAATCTACTCGACACACTTTCACCCTGAGCGCGCCCTCACATCCATCATATATATATATATATATATATATATATATATATATATATATATATTTGTATTTGTATTTTAATATTTTATATTTATATATTTACACGGATATATATTTTTATTTGTATATAAATATAATTTATTTATAAATTATTATCAAAAATTCCTAGTAGCTAAGTGGTTCGAGTATCAGTCTCTAACTCTAAGGTATTAGGTTCGAATCTGTCGATAACAATTCTCTCAATCTAATAATAATTCAAATTTCTAAAAAATATAATAAATAATAAAAATATATTATAAAAGGGAGATTAGAGAGTTATAATAATGTTTTTGTTAGTGACCGAAAATTCGGTCACTATTTGATTTTGTTGTTGTAGTGATATATATATATATATATATAAAATCCTAAAATTTTTTATTAGTAGTACGTGAATTTTGGAGCTTTGGGTCTCACTAAAAGAATAAAAGTCGTTATTTCAATTTTTGTTGATAAAAGTTATGATTATGGACAACTGAAAATATAATCTTATCTTGAAGGATTAGATGTATGAGAAGTTATGGAAGATGATTACATAATTGATTCGTTATCCGAAAATCCTACCATAACTCAAATCAAAAATTCAAATCAAAATCTATAAAGAAAGAAAAATAAAGAAGTCAAGTGATTCTCATTATAATCATAACCCTAAAGACACCTAAAGAAATTTGAGATTATTTATAAGAAGAATATGAATCCACAAAGAGAGACAAATTGTTTTTGAAAAAGAAAATCCCAACAATCAATCAGGCCAACATCATTACCAAGGAACAAGACACCAATAAATAACAATTGCTCGAGAAAGAATTGTTAGAGATGAAGGAAATGTTATAGAAAATGTGTCATGGGAAGGAGAAGACCGAAGAGATATTGAAAGTTAAAGACGAAACTCAGCAAAAGGATGAAGACGTTGAAAAGCATGGTCCAGACGAAGCTCTCAAGCAAAATGATGAAGAGCTTGAAAAGCGTAGTCGTGAAATGAGAAGCTTAAGAATGAGATAGAAAAACTGTAAGAGTTTAAACCTATCATGAATTTGTCTGTGTTGAAATACAATAAAAACAAAGAAAGACTAGAAGAAGGGGTGCTTTGAGAAGAAAATATCTTCTTCACATTATATTTTGTGTAGAAGAGATCAATAGAAGATGAAGAAAGCAAATTTCAACATGTTAGGGACTAAACCGAAGACTATCAATGTAGAAAAGAAGAAACCTTGTGAGAAGAAATAGCATACTGAGAAAAAAGTTTGTTTGCAAGTAATTGCAAAGGAACATGACAGTGCGACAACAAAATTGAATGAAGTGATGATCACATAAGAAAGAGAATGACAAAAATTACAAGCAAGGAAGAAAACAATAATATAAAGAAAAAATATCAAATTCAAATAACAAATATTAAAGTAAGGAGGAATGTTGAGAATATTACTTTATTATCTTTTATTTAAATTAGGTATTAAGATATTCTATTATCTTTTAAGAGAAAAAGATGAGATAATATTAGGTTATTATTTTTATTTAGATAGTTATGATTGAGATATTATTAATGTTTAATATTTTGTCATATTTTTACTTTATATATAGATAGAGTGCATGAATAAATTATATATCCACAGGAGATATATTTCAAATATAAGAAATACACCTATACAAAACCCTAAAATTTCCCATTGATAACAACATTTTGGTCGCATAAAATACTAATAAAAAATAATAAACAAGTTGATAAACTAATGCAGTATAACTAACCCGTGTCGAATCTCACAAGGACACAATTATAGGAACTGTAGACCCAAAATCTTGCCCGACCAATCAGTAGATCTCATAAATCCTCCATTTCGAAGATGGTTAAGGCTCGATTAGGTCCCTAGTAGCATTCACTAGACTCCATTTAAGAATAGGAGAGATTTTTGAGAAAATAAAAATTTAGAAAAATAAAAAAAACTGGGACGGTCGTCCCACATCTCCAGACGCCCATCCCACTTGCCATTTAGGTTGGGATGACCGTCCCACTTTCCCAGACGGTCGTCCCACTTTCATTGAACCTTGGGACGACCGTCCCACTTTCCCAGACAGTCGTCCCACCTTTTCTTGAACCAGAGACGACCGTCCCATTTTCCTAGATGGTCGTCCCACCTAGCAAGTT